TGTGTACTTTTATTTATTGGACTTAGGAGTCATAATACACCTGCCACTCATCGAAGGTAACCATCTATGGGTGATTTTGAACATTTGAGTTGAACATAAGTTATGAACTGAGTTCCTTGAGGGCAAAATAAACAAAGAAAAAAGATTGTGCTTTTGTGAAAGTAGTGCTAAGAATATCACATCCTCTCTTTCATTTATCACACTGGGTCACACTGCTAAAGGATAAACTGTTATGTGACCTCTTAGGTAATAACCACTATACTGTAAAATAGAAGTGTGACATAGGCATTAAAATGTGACAGGAATATGAAATGTTTCAAATACCTGCTCATATGAGACCTAGAGAGTTTAACTGAGTTCAAACACCTTATTCATATTGTGAAGCATCTAGAAAATAGAATTAGAACAAACAGCCAGAATAAAATGCTTGAACTAGTACACTTTATAACTTCTATCACAATTTTTTTAATGTCAGTTTACATTTTGGATTGCAGACAACATCCTCAGCCAATAGAGGCTTTGTTGAAATTAACAAATTTAGGTTCTAGTTAAATAATAAATTATAAAAAGCTTTGGCATATATTTGACAGAGAAACTAAAATTGATTAGAATCTACTAATTTGTTCTACCTGAATCGATAAGAAAATAGTATAGTACAAACTAAAATAATAGTATTAAAATAATAATAATAATAATAATAATAATAATAATAAAAAACCTGCCTGAACATATTTCTTCTAATGTACTGGATGGAAAGGGAAGAACATCAAAGGTAAGTGCTATTTTAAGACTTTTAATTCATAAAAGGAAAGTATGGTGTTCTAAAATATCAAGTATTATTTTCATTATAAACAGCATATTCTAGAGGACTATAGGTTAAAAAAAAAAATCTATCCTATCCAATCTTCCTGGAAGAAATTCCAGCAGCAGCCTGTAAGGTAAATGGAGTGTGGAAAACCAATTCACAAATTGCAGGCTTGGGAAAGAATAACGCTGCTTAGAAAATGAAAGTCGATCAAGATTGGAAACATTTCACCTGTTTTCATTTAAATCTTCAATCTTTTTTCCTGCTGGTTTTGGAAACAGAATACAGCAAAATGGGGCAGTAGGGAGTATGAACTCTAAATATTTCGAAATGGCCACACTGACATGCTCAATGTAATTTTCTGTGGCTAAAAGAAAACTAGACATTGGGGTAATCTCCCTGTTAAAATATTGTTTATAAAACCTGAAACAACTATTATGTTTTTGCCCTCTTATTGTAAAGGCTCACTCACTTTAATCGATTAAGACATAAGTTTAACAAACTCTCATGGAATTTAAAATGGAAAAGACTTGAAATTACTGAACTAGTCTCCCAATTTCAAATATATACTCATCCTGTTTCAGAGAGGTAAGCAATTACTACAATATCAAGGACCCCAAAAATACATGTTATTTTGACTTTTCCTCCAATCTGCATCAAAGTGCTCCACAGTCATAAGTACTTTTTCAAATTGTCCAAGCTAAATCTTTTGTGTAAATTCCAAAGTGCTTTATAAACAGTCTCTGACAAGTCAATTAATTCTGACAAGTCAATACAATTAAAGAATAGAATTACATTACTCTAAAATTAAATTCAAAACAGGTATTAATTAAGGATACCTGGAGTAGTCCAAAAGGAACAATTAGTGACCTATCTCTAATTCTTTGAAACCATTATACTTAGAAGTGACACAAAGTTTGCATGTTTAAGACCTGAGACATTTTAATATTTCAAGTCTGTGGCCAGTAAATGTCCTACTGATACAGAATGTAGGAAGAGAATAAAAACTCATGAGGTTTTCAGAGATTCTTTGCCAATATCTCCACTAGAGTCATAACTACCCAGTGAAAATACACTAATGACTTATGCACATTATCTCATTTAACACTCACGCTTATATTACAAGGTATAAGAATTCCCCTTTTAAAATTACCATCTTTGTTTCCATTTTACAGGTAAGAATGATGTTAGAACCAGTACTTGAACTCAGGCTTTTAGATTCCAAAATCAATGCTCTTTACCTATGCAAAAGTCTACAGTGATTTTGTTCATAGAATGATGGACTGAATTGTACTATCTATACTCTGTTATTGGACATGAGAACCTTATCATAATTAAGCTAACTTGAACTAGTTGTATTAGTCCAGGAGTATAGGGTAAAACCTGAAAAAAAAAATGGGTAAGAAATTGGAGTGAAATTCTCAAAGGGCTTTAGCTTAAACATTGGGAATATCAAAACTATAGATAAGTTATGTTATGGTTTTGTCTCTGCACATGCCTCTGCCTGTGTCCTATAGCCATTAGCACCAGTGGCCCTCTTTATGACTATGATTCTCAAAGTAAAAGAGAAATGCCTGCCCTTCAATCACAAGGGGTAGATGGACACATCACAGCTCCCTTTGCAAATTTGAGAGATTTCCCTTCCCTCCCTGGAGGCATGTTTTCCTATTCCCAAAGACAAAAATCCTTGATTTATAGAAAAATATAAAACAATTATTGAATGATTTCTCTGAGTCAGTCACTCTTTTCTTGATTCACTCAGTCTTCACAATCAATTTATGAGTTACATTCACACCCCCATATTATACAGAAAGAAAGAGAGGAATTTAAGGAATTTACCCAAAGTCGCAGATTTGAAAAATGGTAGCGCCTGACTTTGAACTCAGAAAATTTGATTCCAAAGGTAGGACACTAGACCCTCAGGCTAGATTACCTCTCACTCATTGGTTGAAATAAGTTTAAAAAAAATTATTAAAAGAAATATGAATATACAAGTACTCAACCAAATTCTTCATCTTTTTTTATATCCAAAAGGGCAGGTTTATTATTTTAAAAAAAGGGGGATGGTCCTCTCTGGTGGCGCAAGGGGTTCAGCACAGCACTATGAAGTTATCCAAAAGACTCTGCAGCACAAGTTCAATCCCTGGCTGGCCAAGGAGCAAAACCCACATGGCACAGCAAACTCTTTTGACTCACCTGCTGCTCCCCTCAGAAGAGATTTTCACTCAATCTGCCTGTTCTGCTCCCTACTCTGTCTCTGGTGAATCCTCTCATCTTCCTGTACCTCTGGTCTGTACCCCAGTTCTTATATGCATAAATAAATAAATCTTTTTTTAAAAAGGGGGGAGAAGTTACGGACTCTTGCACAGACAAAAGTGGGCAGAAAGAGCTGTACCTGAAAGTGACAGTTTTGTTATGAGAGGCCTGCATCGTCTCAGTGGGCAGTCTTGGGGGGAGAGATACCCCTGCTGCTTTGCAAAGGGAGAAGGTTGGGGAAGAGAAACACCTCCATAGGCACAGGTGTGCAGGAGAGTTGCTGCTCAACCAAATTCTTGTTTTATGACCATAAAAACAATCTAAAATGGACCTTGGTTTATAAAACTGCATTTTGGGCTTAAACTTTCTTATTCTCTCTCTTCCTCTTTCTCTCTCTTTCACTCTCATTTTTTCATAATTCTCATCTTGCTATAAACAATGATGCTAACTAGTTTTGATTGTACCCAAGTGCCAAAGTGCCACTGTTGTATATAAATCATTTAACTCCACAGCATCATTCATCCTTTCTGCCTTAAGATTTAATTTCTCTATTTACTTCATTTGAAAATAACTTGTTAATAAGGTATATCATTTTTTGTTTTTATAATATTTCTAAGAATATCATTTTGTAATATTTAAAATATTTTGTAATATCTAAAAATATTATTTTGTAATATTTAAAAAGAAAATGCCATAAAATATTAATGACATAGATGGACCTCATATATACAATATTCAGCAAAAGAAGCCAGATGCAAAAAAATACATACTGTATGTTTAAATTTATGTTGAGTGCAAAGACAGGTGAAGTGACTTAAGTTGTTAGCATTCAGGACAGTGGTTACCCATGAAATGGGGCACAGGGAGCTTCTGAGATTCTTGTACTATTCTACTTCTTGATCTAATGGACAGTGTTCTCTGTCATCATAAAATGGCGAAACTTCATTCCCAAACTCTCGTTTTGCTAATTTTTTAGCACTACTTTCTCTCTTCCAGAGAGATAAATTACATTTGCTTTACAAAATAAGTTAACACTCCTACTTAACATGGTAAAGTTCCTTTTTTTAAAACTAAAAGTCAGGTTTCAAGGTGTAGTTTATGTGCAGAAGAAGCCATCCTTTTTAATGTACTGATCTATGATTTTTGACAAGCACATATATTTATGTAACTATCACCAATATCAAGACATTGAGCAGAGATCCATTATCCACCCCCCCCCAAATCTCCTCATGCTCTTTTATATTCAACCTCATTCCCCTACTGGCAACACTAAGTGATCTTCTGTCCTTATATCTTTGCTTTTTTAAGAATGCCATATCAAAGGGATCATACAGCAAGTATTAATTTAAGTCTAGCTTCTTTCATTTAGCATAATGCTCTTGAGATTCATCCATGTTGTGAGTACACCTTCGTAGTTTGCTCCTTTCTATTGCTGAGTAGCGTTATAATATATGGCTATACCACATTTGAACAGTTTCCAGTTTAGGGTAATTATGAAAAAGTCACTATAAACACTCATGTATAGGATTTTATAAAAACATGGGTGATATATATATATATTTAATTCACAAAATATTTTCTATATTGTCCTTAGTTTATGATAATTTTGATATTTAGAGAATCTACCAACCAGTTCAAAATAAATAAAATCAAAATGCTTAACTTAAATAACAAACATCTTAGAAAACAGAACTTTTAATCATTTTACTCTTAAAAATATTTGTCATCAACTGAATTATGAACATGATATGATTTTTAAATCATAAGAAATTAAGGAAGAATAGGTAGGAAAGGAGGCTTGAAAAGTAAAGTGTTACACACCTCCTTCAAAATTCCTTAATTCAACATATTATCAATTTGACACAGCTGGTTAGTACATTGCATCCATGATCACTGGGAAAGGATTTGAGTGACAAAATGGAATCATGGTAGATGTTACCTAGCATGTTGTGGTAAAGTGGAATGGCCCGTCCAGGGGTAGTAAATGCAGTCATGACTAGTGGGACCGCTACACCTGCAGGCAATTACAGAACAGAAGACATCATTCTCCATTCACAGTGACATGCACACACATGCACCAGTGCTCACACATGGAGCCTCGAAGGAAGAACATGGGAAGCAAGCACACCAAGTACCTATCCATCAGGCCAATGCAGTCTTCAATACTTGAGCCTATGCACCTGCAGGAGATTCAAATTTTAAAAATACAAGAAAAAAGAAAAATTAGTCATTTTTCAAAAGAACCAAGAAGATCAATACCCATGGTGTCAAAATCTTTATTATAATTATCAATCAACTTTTGGAATACCTTGAATTTAAAGCCAGTGAGAAGATGATTGCTTGATAGAGACACAGAAATGAACTGCAATTACCACCCAGGTGGAATGCAAAGAAATATGTCCACAGTGAAGGAAATTTTACTGTTTCTTATGGATAACTTCCAAACACATGTAGCTCATTTCTAACAATTTAAACACATTTGGATCATTCATGGTATGTCTTGGTAAATAATTTGGTATTTCAATCACTATAACTTGTTTCATGTATAGTTTCTTCTCTAAGGCCTAAGTTTAAGTGAAGAACAGAATCAATAAAAAATAAACATGAGCTTTTCAATATAATACAATAACTTGGTGCTTAATATTCATTAAAGATTGATTTTGGCAAAAAATGAGTTAACATGCTTTAGCACGATTCTCATGGATACTTTACATAATCACTTTATTCCATTCCTTGCTTGTGACTCTCTTTAAAACATACTTATATTTAAACATGAATTCATTTAAAAAGCAAATTAACTAGTTTCACCACACTGCAGTTTATCTTGACACTGTTCTAAAATAGCATTGCTGTAACAGGCAAACAAAAACACGTTTTAAACTGCCATAATATTTAACCCAAACAAAAACAAATGAATAAATAAATACTCTCTAAGGAAGTGAATAAATTGAGTCCCAGGTAATTAAAGAATCCACTGAAATAAACATGTAAGTGGATCATGTAAGTACACAGAATTCTAATGTTTAACTCCTAGAATTTTATTGTGAAATATAAAAATACTATTTTTGCCATCTTCCAATGTACTTGAGTGGTTTTCTTTGCCTTTTCTCCCATCAAAGACATGCAGTTACAGTGCATTATCAACTTTCCTCCCATAGCTACAATTTATACAACTGTCCGATTCTACTGGGAATAAATTTTTTTCCCAAACTCTAATTTCAAAACCTGAAAAAAAAGGTTAAAGTGAAAATCACTAAGTAATGAAGTAAAAAAATATGCTCATGTGTAAGGTCAGTCTGTCCATTACATTTGTTTATTGGTCTAAATATTGGTGAAGATAACTATGTAAAATAATACATATGCCTATTTATTTCCTTGTTCCTATCTTATTTCCTTGTTCATCAATATCTGTTATAACAGTCTTAATAGACAGAAAATTCTTTTATGTTTTGAAAATAGTACATGGGGAAATTTTTAACATGCAGAAATGTGGGAATTACACAGAGAAAAATCTGAAAAAAAAAAAAAAACACACACACACACACACACACACAAGTAAGAAATAGCTAGAGAACATAGCATTGTACTGGTACCATGATGTATATTCCAAACCATTTATAAAATAATACTACTACTAACAAAATTTCCAAATTATCTTATTTTTTAAAATTTTTATTCTATTATGAATAGCTTATTTTATCTAGGTTCCTTTTATCTATAACTTGTATATCTTCTATAAAATTAATTGTGAGTAAGAATCAGAAAGTTATGATTAGTTTGTAATCTGTGTTTTTATAATAATCTTTCAAAGATATAAATACTTGAAAGTGAATTTCAGCTTAAGGGGGTTGTATGAATTTACCAAATTAACCAGAGGAGGTATACGAATATTACCTCAATTAAACATCAATTTTTTTTTTAATTTAAAAAGTTGGGAGAAAAAAGAATTTACCCAATTACAGAAAAAAATGCACTGCATGCTTTCTAAGTGTTCCTACCATTCAAGGAACTAGAAGGAGAGAAGAGATGAATTAGACATTTTTCCTATTCTCAATGAATTCACAATTTAATAGCGATTAATGCAAGAATTAAAGTATACGTATAATGTGATAAATATACTACGTGACCAGAAGAAATGGCTTACAGGAGCCTAAGAGGGAGAGCCCAGCTTCTGAAAGTCATGGTGACCCTCATGGAGAAGTTAGGAAGCTAAATGAAGTTCAGAGATTGGGATTGGAGGGCAGTGATTTCTATAGGTGTAAAAAGCGACAGGAACAAAAACACCAGTTTCCAGAAATGTAGAATGTATATGAAGAATTGCAAGTAATTCTGAATATTTTGAGAGCAACTTATGAGGCAACAGGGAGAGGGAAAAGAAGAAGCTAGAGCATTAGCAAGAAACTAAGATTTGAAAACAATTCGCTTAGGAACAAACTTGATGGAAAACCACTGTGGGGTTTTAAAGAAGTGGTGAAATTATAGATTGGTGTTTTGCATCCATCTTGTTGACTTATGAAGGGTAGTTAGTAGGGAGACATGTAGACCCCTTTCACACTAGATGTTTTAGTCAATGAAAGAAATGATAAGGGCTAAACTAGTGAAATGGACTAAACTAAGACTAAACTAGGCAACTAAGGTAAAGACAAAGGGCAGATCCAGAAATACTTTGAAAGATCTATGAGAAAGAAAGACATTTATGGTTGATTTGGTGACAGAAGCAGAAGGATCACATGAGTTTAAAATGACATATTTCTAATTTTGGGATTAATGGTTACCTTCAGTGACAGAATCCAAGAGAGGAACACATTTCTACATGTGTGTTTTGAGGGGAGAGGGAGCTGAAAATTTAAACTCAAATTTTCACAATCATCCCATTTTTTAACCAACTGAACTTCTTTCACTACATAAAGTTTAAAATCTGAAAAAGATTGATAGGAAAGAGAAAGCATACATAAAACAATAAATCAAAATCAGATATTAAAACACTTAATGAGATTTTTTAAAGATTCTGTATAAAATGAATATCCCAGTCCATGTCTAAAAACCAAAATTAAATTGACATTTATCATGGACTCAAGTGATGTTAGTGAGGAAACTATAATTCTTGACCTTACCGCTATTTAATTGCATACTAAATTTAGTATACAAATCCTCTTTAGAACTTCTCTCTTGCTAGTTTCAAGCATGAAAATCATTCCTAAGTTTTACAAGCTTGCTATTCATTAAAAAATTCTGTAAGGAAGTTCTCTAATGGAAGCATATAAATTGTAACAATAAAAACTCACTGTATTTGTGAGTTCCTAATGGTCAAATGCTGATCCTTGTTCATTTCTCAATTTACCTTCCACGCTATCTGATGCACAATAGAGGACAACAGATCAAACTTGAAGAATAAATGAAATGAGAAAAAGTTGATAAAATGAAAGTCCTAGTTCAGGCAAGAAGAAACAATGCTATTTTTTCCCCTCTAGGAATTTTACTGAGAATCTACTGATAGGTGCTAAAAGGACAACCTATTTTGAAAGTCTCTAAAGAACTTATTAGAGCCAATATATTTAATGTACTTTCAGAGTAGTAAAAGTGCTTTTAAGGTATTACATAGATAATTTTATTTTCAGAAAATCATTAAATGGTATTCAAAGTAAGAACGTTCCTTCTAAAAAATGTGATTTGAAAGACTATTTCCATTAACTTGGTTCTTGAATTATATAGCTCACATCATATTGGCATGTAAAAGAAAAACTGTTTTCCAAAGTGGAGCTGACCTGGTGAGTTCACACTTAGAGATCGATGAGTTATTACATATATTAGGAATTAAAGGAGTCACCTGTTCCATTATCCCCACTACTCCTGTGGCCTTATAAGGCAAAGGCCCTCCCTCTACATGTTCAACTTGAAAAGAAGGGACTGAGTATAGAGCAAACCTAATCTCTTTGGTAAAGAATCTCAAAGCACAGCGCTGCTCAGCAGAAAGACACAGAGGGACATTTTGGAAGTTAAGAATTCCACTATTGAAGAATTCCTAAATTCTCTCCCGGATTTGGCGCCACAGGACTTTCATGAAGTGAGTGAACCTGAATGCCACAGAGGTGATTAGAAAAAGGATGGCAAGAAGCTAAATGAAATCAAAAGCAAACATCCTTCAGGATGAAGTCAAGCATTTACCTAGGAAGATCTCCAGGAGTACAATATTCAAATTTTGTTTCACCACACTTCTGCAACATTGATTTTTAAAACATCTATTTGCTTAGAGTTCCCAAAAGCTAAATGTTCTGATGAGATGCCTTCCCTGTTATACCTTCATCCTCCTACTTAGCTGACATCCAAATTTAGTTACTGCAGTAAACTTATCTCTTTATTGTCCCTACTTCTTCTTTCCAGTATATATGTTTTCTTTTATCATATAATCATATGTGATATCATATAATCATGAGTTAAAAGGGCTAAGAGGAAGACATACCAGTCACACATCAACACTGAGGATCTGTGATCTCACTTTTATTTCCCTAATGGCTTCATTGTAATTAGATTTGCAAAAACAGCAAAAGGTCTCATTTTGAATGGCAACAGCTGTTGACATCAACATTATATTGAATAATTTACTGGTTTAATTTTAGCTGCAAAACAATAAAACCCTCTTATGGATGATTATTTTAGCAGGCAAAGTTTTCTCTTTCCGTTGCTGACTCTGCCTCCTGTTTCAGGAGTACCACTATGTATCTTCCTGAAATACTCTTAACCCAAGTGTGTCAAAAGCTTGCAAGGGAGCAGTTTTTCCCTTCTAGATTCCTTGAAGCAGAGTGTTTGTGGGACTATTTCAGTATCCTCAAACCATGTGTTTTTGTATACACCGGATGAGTTAGCATTAGCTCTTCCAAGCTGATTTTGAATTTGAATGGCAATATATTACTTTACCTTCTGAGGATCTGCTACTTGCCAAAGTGACATAAGGTGATTTCTTGATCTGCAGAAAATTGTAGCAGCCTCTAAAAATTGATGTCCTCTTGGCAGGAAATGATGTTGCTTGCTTAACTTCAATATTCCCTAACAGCTACCCCTTCCCTGGCAGAAAATCTTTAATGCAATCTCACACTTTCCTGCCTGTCTAAAGTACCCAGGATGATTCTGTACAAGTGTGTGTGTTGTACACAGTGTGCACATACATGTGGGCACTATGGGCAGGAGATAGAGCGCATGAAACTGCTCTAGATTCTAAAATCATTTACCTTCTGGAGGAAAGAAAAAGGAAAGTCCTGACTAAAATAGCTTTATTGTCATTTTAAGAAATAGTTGTCGGAAATTGCTAGATGAGTGACATGAGTTGTTGTATAGTTCAGTGCTTTTCTTTCTGCAATATGTTTTTGTAATTCAACTTTTATCAATATCAAAGGCAATCTAATTGACATTCATTTTACAATGCATCCATTTGAAAAACAGGAAAATGCATACCCATCTTTGAATTGCCCTATAATAAAGAAAGAAATCCAAGTTATAGTTAACGAGGAATAAAATTACTTTCATAAAATGTGCTTGAAATTGTATTAATATACATGTTACTACTTTTATGTTTTTCTACCATCACTATTTTTGCTTATGGTTTGCTGGAAAAGTGATCCAAGGCACAATTTATCAAACAGAAATATCCTAACTGTAAGCTGCTGTAACAAAGAAACAGAAACAGAAAATCTTAGACTTTTAAGCACAAATCTCAGATATATGACTACCTTTTTGTCTATCTGCTATCTTCAATCTCCAGTAAAAGCTGGAAGACTTTCTACACTCTATAAAAAGTATACTTGACTTTAGCTTCATACAGGTGTCAATAAAATAGTTACAGGGAAATGTTAAACAAATATTTTAAAAGCTATAAATTTGATTTCTTAAACCATTGTCCCAGAAAGGATTTACTTTAATATCAACCTGCTAAAGGTAAAGACAAAAAAACTTTTGTATTATACATTATATTATACATCCAGTAGACAGCATCAGGGAAAGGATAAAGATACATGGTTCCCCTTTGACTGGCAGTGTAGACCTGAGTCTGTAGCCAGCTAGGATGCTTACCCTTGGGTGCAGTTTGGATGGCATGGGTGGCACTCCCGATCCTGATCAGCATACTTGAAAATGAAACTGTTAGCTCCCTGTAGGCCGTCTGGACATTTTTCCACACAGTTCGGGCCATCCTTAAAATGGGAGCACTTTGTACAGTTGTCAGGGCCCTGATGTGGGAAAACAAAGTAAAACAAAATAGAGAAAAGTGGGTGCCATTTATTCTATAATGTAGTCATGTGATTTAGCTGGATTTTATGTAGCTCAAATGGGATGTAGCTATGCATTCTGCAAAACTGATCCAATGGCTTTTCCAGAAGGACATCAATATATTATTTTTTCCATTTATTCCTGCTGATATTAGAGAGCAGCAATATTTGGTAACAATACATTTTCCTGAGGGGTATTTCATCACAATAAGAATATGTGACTATTCTTACTAAAAAAGGAGAAGGATATGATAGAAATTAGGTCATCTTGGATTTCATATAAAAGTGAGATGTAAACTTTCCTTTGGTTGTAAATGTCTAAACAATAAATTTTAAAATTTATTATAGTTAAATCATCAGGAAATAGGCAGCTGAGGCAAATAAAGGTTAACTTCTGGCTTTATTACCCATTTCAAATCAGCTTCTGATACTGCTAAAGATTGTATCAGCTCAATTTACAAGGATTTTAGTAAATCACAGAACAATACTGAAAGTCACATAAGGCACATTCTGATAAGAAAATATAAAAAATTTCATAATAATAGAGTAGGTACTTATAAAAAAATGTAGAAAATTATCCAGGAATGAAGGTGATATAAATATGAACATGAAAAAATTAATAAAACTTAATCCATATAATTATTTATAATATATAATCATTTTCTAATACGCAGAATGTTAATAAGCAATAATAATATGCAAATATAGTTAAATGTCAACAGTAAAAATTTAAAACTTATAGTTCTAACATTTTTATTTGTTGGTGGAAATAAGCTTGTAAGAAATGATAAAAAATATATCCTCACATTAAAAAAATTGAGAACATTTTATAAAGAATGCTATCTTGATAAATGATGCCCTAATTTTCAGACAACATCTGTTTTGAACAAAGGCATTGCATGCTTGAAATTTACTTTTCCTTTTCTGAACATCATATTGTCATAGTGACCCTTCTCTTTGGTCACTCTTCCCCAGAATTTCTTTCCCTGACCAATTTCTCTCCCAAATCTGTCTATGTCTGTAAGGATTAGTCCATTCATGGAGATGTATTACATCACTCTACAGTGATAAACCAAAAGCAGATAGACATTGCAAGTTGGTGATACATGACATCAAAAAAATGAAGAAATAAATAATGTTTTAAAATGTAAAGATAGAGTCTGGTAATGAAGAATTGCAATGTAAAGTAGAAAAAGTAATCAGGAAGAGGTTTCTAGAAATCCTGAGACTGGTGAGATTCAATCAAGCACCTGTCTTTCACTATTTTGATATGAAACTTAGAGCCTAAAAAAATTATCCTATGAAACCTCATCCCTATTCAGTCTGAAGAGTTTGCTATTGGCAACTTCTCATTTTCTACCAAAAAAGAATACTTTACATGCTTCCAATTTTAACACCTGCTCATGGGTACTTAGGCACGTAATGCTGTCTATTATACAAAATCATTTGCTGTGAAAGTATGCTCAGTGGCATGACTTATTGTACAAGACAAGAGACATGCTGATGGCTTCTTGCAGAACAAGAATAAAATTTACTATGAGTAAATTAGGCAGTTAGAGTCAGAATTAGGAATTAGCAGTCATTTTTCTATAAAACTCTTGAAATATAAAATAATGTCCAAATAAAATCAGAAGATATAAAAATCATGAAACTAAAATTAATATTTCCTCTGTAAGTGTACTTTAATAAGCCAAATTATTTTTGTGCTTCCTTTTATTTTTAAGATTTATTTATCTTTGCAAGCACTGGGGTATAGGCCAGAGGCGTGGGAGGGTGAGAGAATTCACCAGAGACAGAGAAGGGAGCAGAACAAGCAGAAGGACTGAAATACACTGCTGAGGGGAGCAGCATGCAAGACAGAAGAGGTCTGCCGCGCCATGTGGGACTCTCCCTGGCCAGCCCGGAATCGAAACATCGAACCGGTGCTGCAGAGGCTGTGGACAGCTTCACAGTGCTGCGATCAACTCACGGAGCGGGTTTAAAGCATCTCTGTCTGACTGCATTATCTTGATAGGGACCTAATGTCCTAAGCTGACATGATAAAAGAATTCCTTGACAAATCCCAAAAGCAATGCAATGTACTGATTCTCGATTTCATTTCCATAATAAAGAGATTTAAAGAAATAATTGTGTGTCTAATGCTCACTCCTCTATAATTACATTCCTGAAGCTTTTAAGAACTTGGTCAAGTGAGTGAACTAATAAGTGCAATAATAGAAAGCACAGGTAAAGGCAATATTCTTTATCTCTGATTGTAAGCTACCTTAGAACTCAATAACTTAGACAGATTACTAAAAGACTAAATCCTGACAGAAACACTGCATATTTTTTCACAGTGACAATTGGTGTTTTTATATGGTAGTTACTCCAAGAGACAGACAGCTATTCACCAGTATCCAACTCTCTTCTATTTCTAGCTGCATAGAAATCTGTAATTCCCTTTCCCCTAGAGGTGAGGTCTGTCTTTGAACAATGAAATTAGAAAGAAGAAATGTATGAGACTGCCAGGGCTAACCTCTCCAGCCTTCTCGCTCCCTGCTGCCATGATGTGGGGATCCCCCACAGAAGTGGAGGTGCCATAAATTCAAACCATCCTGGAATCCTGGATCAGCAGAAGGACAAATCTGCGTTAGAACTTGCAGTGCTCTTTATGTAAAAAGAATTCAAACCTTTTTCTGTAAGCTGCTGCAATATGGAGGCTTTTATGGCAACACAACCTCTATTAATCTGACATTAACAGCTGCTTTAGCTTTTACAAAAATGTATTTTTAAAAGTTTTGAAATCATTTCCCTTCCCCTGTTTCTTCTCTTCTGCTTGTATTTTGGTTTCCTCCAACAGTCTATGATTCCCCTTACTTTTATTCTCTTATCAGGAGTAGTAAAAGTGAGGCATAATAGATAAAATTATTTGAAAATAAAAACAAAAAACAAAACAAGAATGTAATCAAGAAGACCAAGTGCCAACAGACAAGAATATAGAAAGTGGAGAATTGCTTCATTTCAAATATATCCCTCTCAAGATTATTCTGGATTTCTGTCACATTTAAATAGGATAATACCATCCTGTTTTACATACAGCTGACATATTCCCAGAAAGCATCTCATGCTTATTACATTACAGATATTGTTGCCAGGGCAGGGGAGGGGGGGATGAAATGAAAAGAGTGTGAAATTTGGAGTCAGAATTTCTGTGGCTGAGTTCCAGCTCCATACCTCACAGTCCTGAGGACTTCTAGAGTAACTTTCAAATCATATAGGTTTATTTCTTTATATTTTAAAAGAAAATGTGATATCAGTCTTTAAATGTAACAGTGTCTATTAATAGGGAAACATGAACAGTATGGAAAATGTGACCAATAGAATAAATCATAAGATGAGATATGGGAATTCCAACTGGCTTTATGACTGTCTCCTTTGCCAGTGTCTCAGAGCAGCAGAACGTGACACTTTAGTGCTATTTCCCTGCCACGTGGCACTGAAAACCACCTCTTTCTCTACCTGAGATAATCAATATGTGGTCCATAAACAGGGTAAAAAAGAGAGAAAGAGGGAGGAAGGGAAGGAGAGAAAAGAGGGAAGGAAATGAAAGCAAGCAGTCACTTAATGGGAACAAAGTTTGGGTTATAGTTTGAGCTCAGTCTTACCAGTTTTTGAGATACCATAATCTAAAATACATCATATTTCTATCTTTTTAAATTTCAAGTCTTACTAATCAAAGAATCTAGTTCAGTCTTCTTGATCTCATGCACTGACCTTCCACACACACCTGATTCAGCTTAACTAAGAATTCTCTTATTTTGACTTGCCGCCCTCTCTAATCTCTAGACATACTAATTCACAATTTAGTTCTCTGTAGTTATTTTACATATATAACTGGACAGTGCTGTCATTACAGAATTAAAATGTGTTTATTGGAAACCTGTTTTTATTCTTTTTCAGTTATCAAATAATTTTGAGAACTAAGTTTAATGTGTATTTTTATAAACTTTCTAGGGACAGAGGGATGAAAAAATAAACCTGACAAACCTATAAACTAAACATTTAATAAACTGGTTATTCACGAGCATAATTCTGTACCACAGGAGACACATGAGGAATGGAAAGAAGATGGGATTGTTTTTCAGTCAGCCTTGTTCAGAGGGGTGGTCAACTATTTTATTCTTCTAATTAGACATTTCAGAGTCTCCATTACTCTGAAAGAGATTTTGACTGATGGTTAGGAATATACCTAAGCATTTGATTTTAAAAAATGTCTTTCTTAGCTTAACTTGCTTCAGCAACCTGCTACAGAATTTAACTTCCCTGCATTCTTGACATCCTCTATAGACTCCACATTACTCACGCTGTAGATTAAATGCATTTTCCATTTCTGTCCTTAGTGGAGAAAGGAAATAGCTGCATATGCCCTTTACATACTTACTTGGAGATCATTACATATTAAATTGTCTTTTAGACTTTGAGTCTTCAAGCCAAATGATACTTCTTTTTCTCTCAGGTCTGATTTTCCAAGCTTAATCATCCTTGTGGTAGTCCTCTGAACTGTCCACGTTTCCATATCCTTCTTTAGACGAAGTTCCAGAACGGCTCATTGGGGCCTAATAGAAGTTTGGAGGGCTCAATGATATTTTTTTCTAAGCTAATTAAGTGCTGAATATGCACTATGGTAAAAAAAATTAATAGTTTTTAAATTTCAAATTAATTCTTATGTAGCATTGTTGAGCTCTTGTTAAACCCAAATGTCGGTCCCCAAGTTATCTACCAAGAGATGACTCAATACACAAATAGGCTGGAAATTTGTCTAAAGAAGGATGAATATGACAATTTGGAATGATAAACTCATACTGACCTATTGTCAGGAGAAAGCCTGAATGATGGAAGCGAAAGGGAGGTCTAAAAAATAATTATCATTTTCTTTGAAAGGCTAACTCAGAACTATATGCTTGTCAATTTGTTCATAAGAACTTTCCTGATCCTATACTCCTATCTTCAGTTCTCCTAGCTCAGTTTTTCTCTTTGTTGCAGTATTTATCACAATGCTTTAGTTTTTAGCCTGAGAGTACTTGCCTTCCTCTGTCTTTCAACTTCCCTTCAAATTTCCATAATAGTTAAATGACTAAACACAGATATGAACACGTTACAGTTTACCTCAAACACAATATGAACTTTCACATTTGAATATCTTTACATGTTTCCTCATTCAAGATTCTTCTTCAAAGCATAGCTCAAACATCACTTCTCTATGGCCTTCCTGGGGTGACCCAACATCCATCCCAAAGACATATTTAGTTTCTCCCTCACTTGTGTTCCTGTAAACATTTATACATATTTATATTTTATCAAGAATTTTCTTCAATTGAATTACTTGTGTAATTCTTTTCTCAACACTGTTCAAACTTCAAAGTAAACTTCTTAACTCCTTTTTAAAATATGTCATTTAAAAATATATATTTCTTAAATATGTATTTCTTAAATATAAAAGTAAGTAATCAAATTTTAACATATTTTATCTCTACTACTAAGCTGTAGCCTCTTGAAGTCCGAATATCAAACACAACCCCCTCATGGTATGCTATAAATACCTAGTGAATGGATGGATAAATAATAGAACAATGACAACAAACATTCATACATGGAAATAAGTCAGTAAGGTGACAGATGTCTATGGGCTTACCGGTCCATGGCATGTGAGGAGACCATCCTCCATCTTCTCACACTGGGGGTCACACTCTACACAGATGGAGCCATTCTCAAACTCCCGAAATTCACTGTGAAAACATCAGCTACATGAGGCGGTGTAAGCAAACAAGCTGTCAACTTAACAAATGAAGCAACATCTGCTAAAAGTCCTATTGGCAGAGTATTTTCTAGAGTTTGTTTCTCTATATGCCAGAAGCATCAGAATCATTCCCTGTACATTAAGGAATAAGTTCTCCATTAGGGGAGAAGATAAACTGCAGCCAGATGGCTCAGCTTGCCCTCCACTGGGTTCAACGATAGACTCATTCAGGAAACCTCTCTCTTGTGAGATATTCTAGCAATTGAAAAAAAAAAAGTATGACTCTTCTGATGACACAGCAGAAGTATTTTTATCTTTTTGAGTAAGGCTATGCCTGTTTGTCTCTCTATAAAATTTTACTCTTTGTTGAAGCTTTATTTTTTAAACTCTGAAAGAACTATTGTATTTTTCTTGTTGCTAAGTTACATGAATGTTCCCCATCCTTGTCCTTCAAATCCCAAAACTCTTCAATTTATTTTTGGTGAAACTTCAAAAAATGCTTTGATTTTTTTCTTCTTTTGAAATATCTGCCTTGGAGAATTAGAGAAAATATCTTTTTTTGGCAGATTTTATTTTCTTGATTTATTGATTTAATGTCACATCTTTTTTAGTTTAAATTTTATTTGAAGAACTTTATGTGGTATAAACTTGAAACCAGTTAGTGTTAACATTCTATAGCTTTCTAATTAAATCTGGGATGATTATAATCCCTTCAAACAACCTTTAATTTTTAGCTATATGAGTATTAAATGCTATCTGTACATAAGTTCTCCAATCAAAATCTACTGTAAAATTTACATTTAAATAATTGCATATCAACAATCTATGTTTAAATCAGCCACTGCCACTAAGCTACAAGAAGTTGAGGTACTGGGTAAAGACAATTTAGAGCATCAGTTGTGAATTGCTAACAAAATTTGACTAAATATTTATAGCTGCTTTATTATGTTGTGCCTTTGTATTATAATCTACCATTCCAAACTAATAACATAGGAAACATGGCAATTATGGACTAATTGGGTGATAAATTCAAAGTTATTTTTCCCTGGAGTGAAATATTCAGTTATGTTTTCAGAGTGGACAAGCTCATTTGGTTACTGTACACCCTATATAAATGCCAGAAGTCAAAAAATGGTTATTCTGTTCTCTTAGTTAGACTAAACTATATCTATTCCAAGGTAAAATAATTGCATATGGTTTTTCTAATGAATAGCATAAATTGACATGTTAGTTATGTTTGGATGTAATATCTAGTTACACAATTTTGCATTTTTAAAAAGAGGTGCTGATTAGCTATGAATTAAACTTTTTGTGAAATTTCTGGGTTTAAAATCTCAAGTACATAAAATCAGATTTTTTTTTTTTTGCATGTTTCATCAACATAGGAGGAGAGCTTCAGGATATCAAGATCAAAATGACCTGGTATTTGGGATGGGGGAGAAGGGCAAAAGAGAAATTATAAAGAGAAACAAAAGCATTATCAGTATAAGAAATTATATGATAATAAGAACAAACCTATGAATGTTAGCAAACCACTGGTTCAGAAAACAGTTTCTTGGGTGACTAAAGGGTCTGGCACTAAGTGAAGGTTTTATATTCTATGGTACTAAAACATAGGTCATGCTTCTAACTTTCTTTTCTAAAACCTCTAATCCCCCCAGAGTTGGGGAGTATAATGAGTATGTGATAATAAATCATGTAGACCAGCTAGTCACCTTTTATACATTTATTCCTTAAATTTCCATTTGTATAGCTTCTGAATTTCTTCCTTGCTGTATCAGGACAGTTCTCAGCAGTTTCTGTCACTTCTCCTTACTGCTACTGTCTCCATTATTATTCTTCCCCTGGTCCCTATTGACATTACCAGAAATTCCCTTCTATGTGAATCCGACCTAACAAATCAGTCTGTTGAGCCTAAGCTTTGCATACTGGGCTTTTTGTCATTTGATTTTGCTGCTGTATATTTCTCATACTTATGATGTGTGTGTACTACCTGATCAAGAGTAAATGCTTTGTGGGCCTCCCCGGTGGCGCAGCGGTTGAGCGCTCGGTTGCGAAGCTGCCTGCAGCCTCTGCAGCGCCGGTTCAATCCCCGGCTGCCCCCGGCCACCAGAGGAGGGTCCCACATGGTGCGCAGACCTCTCCTGCCACCCGCTGCTCCCCTCAGCAGTGTACTTCAGTCCTTCTGCCTGCTCTGCTCCCCACTCTGGCTCTGGTGAATTCTCTCACCCTCTTGCGCTTCTGACTGTACCCAGTGCATGTATAAACAAAACAAACAAACAAATATAATAAATAAATAAATAAAAACATGCCTCTATAAAAAAAAAAAAGAGTAAATGCTTTGCAATCAAGTCCTTAACAAATTTAAATACCAGAACCAACACTAGCCATTAGGTCCCTTAACTTCCCTAGGTCATTTTCCTAAACATCTTTAAAAAATGTAAACTCTTGTTTCAATGAGATTGTGATTTTTAAATGTAAAAATGCCAATCAAGAGCTCAGACAGGTACTCATTCATATTTCTTTATTGTTTTTAAAGTTTCAAGAGTTTAATGTGTTGTCAGATAAGAAAAAGTTTAGGATTCCACCGCAATGAGCTTTCTGTTTCACTTTGATTGCATGTACATTGTAGTTACAAGTTGCCAAAATATGGTGATTTCTATGATCTAGATTTGAGTGCTCACAGTCAGGAATTAACTATTTTCTTTATCCTCCTCAAGTAGTTCTCTTTTTAGGATTTCTTCTCTTATAAAAGTCATACTTAATTACATACATTTCATATATATATTTCATGTATGTGTATATATATCATATGTATATATATAATATAGATTTCATATGTTAGCTTTTGATTTTGGTAAATACTATGTTTCTATTTCTTTGCTGCAGTAAAAGTAATTATTCTACTTAACCATTTAATCAGCTCAGATTAATAGACACAAAAGGAAATTATGGTAATTTTAATAGTAGAAACTCTAGAAAAACCTTATCATGCATTTTTTCCTATGATGATCACAATCACAAAGCTGAAACCATTATTATTCTCATTTTCCACATAAGAAAGCTGGCCAGAATGGCTATTTGTTCAAAAGTGGGACATTTCAACTAGAAAGTGCTGGAGTTCAGACTTGAGTCCAATCCTCCTTAAAGGGCATCTTAACCACCAGGTAATGTTGGAAGAAATTAGTCAATACTACAAGACTGAAGGTGGGGCAATCTATTACTGGGCAGGAAGGAATTAGGTCAGAGTTTTATAAGATAACTTTATTTATATTCTTTCAAACTAACCCTGTGCATATGATTTTCTAGGGTACCACTCATGCTGCAAAATAGATGAGACATTTTATATTTATTACATTGATTTAATGTTTACATTTCATTTAAATGTTGAACTTTCAAAAAACAAATTGTTAGGTTACTGATATTTTTTCTTTGCTTAGCTGTTACTACTTTGCAGAAGGAGAGGATGGAGCAAGGATCCAAACATTTAGTCATTCTTATATTTCTAACCAATTAAAAAAGTCTGATATTGAAGAAAAACAGTGGTATCTAAAGAAGAAACAGGAGGAAAACCAAATGCCCTGTATTCTAGTGTTAGCTTAGTCCTTCTACAGTATTATGATTTCAACCAAAACTTAGTTACACTTCTGAATTTATAAGCTGCTGTTGTTAGGTAAAATGATTTCTAGAATCCACTCCCTATTTAAACTTGCAAATTCATATTCAGTAAACTTTTCACGAGGCATCCCCTTAATGGAATTAAAGTCTATTAGTTTCATTTTAATGAAATCTTGCTACACACACAACAGGTATATATTGATTTGAGTTATTCTACATAAGAAAATGTTATTTCATAATAATGTAAAGATGTCAGATACAATTCAATGCAATAAGCAGCACATAATTTGCTATTCATTAGCAAATTTATAGCTGACTGTATCCTATAAAATTACTAGTTGATTTTTTTAAAAAAAACTATTAAATTCTTTCTTAGTTTATATACTTAAACACTAGTATGTTTATTTCCCCCCTAAATTTCTGGGAGGGAATTCATCTTGGTCATCTCTCAAAGAAGGAACATGTTAATATCATTATGATTTATAGATTTTTATTTTTCTGCAGTAAAATGCAAAAATATAATGTTACCTAGAGTCATGAATACACTGGTTAAAATTATACAATTCATGAGGGAGAAGAAATAAAATAATTTCAAAACTATACTATTAGAAAACTGCTAAAAATCCTTTCAGCAGTAATATAAGAAAATTTAACTTAGGGACAGCACTAAAAGATGTATTATCACACTAATGAAGGACAACCATGATGCATGAAATGGTATGTTATGATAAAGTGATTTTATGAGTATATGAAATGTCAGGCAACAAGGTATATACTAGATTTTATTGTTGCCAATGTGATTATCATAATAGCAGAAGGAATTTAAAAGACCTGATTTAAAATATTGTCAGGTTGTCTTCAGTGTCAGAACACTTTAAAAAACCTTCAACTAGCAACTATGAAAGTAGTTTTTCCATAGAGCTAAGCAGTTGTCAGAGACATAGAAATCTCTGTCACATCTATTATACACAGCTCTCCCAAAATAAAAAGTTATATTGTATAGTAATTATACATGAAAAATGAATGGGAAAGTGAGAAAAAAAAGATTATGGACATGTGAGGGAAGATTAGCTATAATTTTATAATTCCTATAATGAATTAAGAATTGCTTGTTTTGGTTACACATTTTTAAACATTAAAAAAATAAATAAAATTATTCCCCCTTCAAAATAATTTTTCTATAGGCATCTCCTCTATGCAATAAGAGTTCTCCTTAAATGCCTGGCCAGTGTACACATTCTGAAATTGTACCAATTTCTTGTAATTTTTAGATCTGAACCAATCCGTACCTCAAAGCTCATGAGGTAAAGATGGCGTTGTAAGATGCCTTACCCATCATAGAGGTTACAAGACTCAATGCAGATCCTCCCTCTGCTGAAACGACGGCAGGACAAGCATTGGTCTGGCCCAGGTCCCCAACAACCATCACTCGAACAGAGATGGTTGCATACCATTCCTTCAGCAGCTGAAAAACATCAAAATCAAGAGGAAATAAAGCAGAAGGTTGTCAGAATTCGACATTTTACTCTGACTCTTTCTAAGTCCAGCTATTTCTAAAGGATTTTGTTGAACAGGATCTGTGACAGACAACTTTGGTTACCTGAGCAGCCACCACATAGCCTCCACCCCACATCTTCCATATTGCACAAATCACTCATTCTTTTTATATAGCACTACTGAATTTTTAATAAGACTAAACAAACCTCAGATATCTATATCAAAATTGTAGGAGGAAGTTAACCTTCCAGGTAAGGTAAGGAACAAGCCATAACTTTCCCAATCCTTTTCTCTACCAATACACCAGAAATTTTCCTTCAATTCTATATGAGAAATTCATGAAAAAGTAGAACAAATGATATTCATGAAAATTTATGTATGAAAAGAAGGAGAGAAAAAATTATATGGAAGGTAAGAAGGGGAGAACGAAATGGGAATGAAATGTAGGTTTCCTAATAGACCTCCACTGAAGTATGACTAAGCTACCTTCATATTTAGTTTGAGTGGCACTTGTAATGAAACAATGTTAAGGGTCGTCTTAGTGGCCACCGCATCCTTGAATGCAATACGGGGTCATTCCTTCCTTACTCTTGGACTCTGAAATGCTGTTAGAAATGGTACACGTTAAGCAAATAGTTCATATCTTTTATAAAGCTCACTTTGACAAAACTGTAGTGCAATAATTTTAATAAATATTTGGATTTGAGGACTGCATTGTAGGTTGTTGAATATCACAGAACCAATGTATTAAGAGAAATGTTAAAAATGCCAATCCTATAAAAATATAGTGGATTTTGTTAATTTAAAAAAAAGCTTTTGAAAAGCATTTTGAAAGAAATGTTAAACTAGTTGTGGTGACTATAAGATAGCATAGAAAATTAAGTAGTCGTAGTAGTTATTAATCGTATCTCTATTCTTTTTTTGGTGGTGTTGTTGATGGGAGAGAGCCAAAAAATTGGGGCTCGTCTTTTAAAATTGTCACTTAAAGTTTACCATCTCTATTTCTTTTTATACTATTTAATATTATTTATAGTGATTACATTATCATTCATACTAAATATCATATTTTTAGTGAAGGAATACTAGATGTTGAAGAAGGGCCTACAAAGACTTCAAATATTTTTCTGGGTATCATAGCTAAGAAAGCTTAGGTTTTCTCCCATGCTTTTTTCGCAAATTATATCAATAGTAAAAGTATTTTCCTGTTAGATAGGATTGTCCCTCTTTTCAAATATAATATTAATTATTTCAGGTAACTTAAAAAGTTTACAGATTTTACTTAATTGTGATTCTAACTCTGAAAAATGTATTAAAACAAAATATCATATATTGTAATCACATTTTCCCTTCCTAAATGGAAGCTTTTCTTTCCAAAAGTTGACTAATTTGATGTTATACTTGGGAACGGCTAGCTGACGGTTCATCTGTTATACTGATTTTGAACTAATAACAAGTCATTTCCTTCTGATTCATTCATAATATAGTGAAAGGGGGCTCTCTCACTGTACAAAAGAAATGTAACCAGACTTGGAATTTAACATAGGTCTCATATTACTAAATCCCTATATGTATAAGATCTGCCACTAATTTATAAAACTGTAAGGAGAAGAAAGATCAAGATGATTGAAAATAAATGTGTAAGATCATATTATATAGAGAAAATAGTCAAGAAGCAACAAAAGATCAATAACATGAATAAATATAAAATATAAAGCACAATTTATAAATATCCAGTCATTTTAAGGTTTTTAACAGAGTGTTTCATGTTCCAAAAACACATTTATATAAATACTTGCTTAGGAAATAAACAAGCTCATCAGAAAAATTCCTGAAGAGGGAAAAAAAAATCCTAAAAGTTTTATTATAAAGCATTTTGTAAAGACAGTATATTCAAGGCAATACTACATAGTCATGAATGTGACTCTTGGTATTCTTCACCGCATAACCTTGTAGAAAACATAAGCAATGCCACAATTTTTCCTTTATTAAATTCTGTTAATAAGCAAATATGTATTGCTAAGTTCCTTAAATATGTTTTCACCCAAGATCCTACCTTCTTTTATGCTGTCTACTGCCTGCCTATGTCTGTATTCAGAGATCAGGGAAACATTATCTTCTGAGAAAAAAATAATAAACAGAAAATCATAACAATTACTTTATCTCATTCTTTCCAAACCACTAGATGATGGCATTAAAAGATGGGCAATCATTTTCTCCAAAGAAGGAAAGTGTCTCAACACAGCATAGAACAAAAGGCCAAAGAAGCTAGTTCTTTGAAATTCTAAAGCGAAAAGCTTTTGATCAACACCAAAAATTCAACAGCCCTTGACCTGCCAGGTAGAAGTAGAAGGCCTATTCAGTGGCTTACAGTTCAAAAGGTCATTATGAACCTCTCTAAAGAAACTTTACAAAGTAGTTATTGGGCAACCTTTAACATCCCCTGTGCTTTCTCTAGAAGCCATACAATAGATTTTTTTTAATCTCATCTGAATTGTACCTGTCTGTTAAAAATTGTAAAGATAATAATGTGCTTAGTATGTCTACTTTAAAAGAGAATATTGAACCTGCTTTCATTAAAATAGGGACAACCTTAAAAAGTGGATCTTGCTATTCTGCTTCATGTGTGAAAGTAAATGGATTAACTCAAAATATTGAAATGGAGTAACTGTCTATAGGCAGAAAGGCAGAAAAAAAGCCTTCTCTTTCACTGCACAAGACCATCTATGTTGTTTGCATTACTTAGCATTTGTAGAGGCATGGGATAAGCTTGGATTGTATTTAGACAGAAACTATCAGTTTTTATGATCAGATCAACATAAATTCAAATATTTACCAAATGACTATATGACTCATGTAACCATGGCCAATTATCTAAATATTACTCAGCTATAAAGTAAATAATAATATCTACCTTTCAGGATTGTGATGAAGATTAGATATTATATTAATAAATGTTTAATGCAGGGTTGCTTATTTAACTAAGTTTTTAATAAATGTTCTTAAGAGATATATGAAAATACACAAGCATATTCATGTGTTTAAAAACTATTTGGTGAGAAAATATGTTCAACAATGTTAAGCTACGGAAATACGATGGAAATAAGAAATAAAATATACATTTATCTAGAACCTATAGTCTAGTTGTAGAGATAAACATTAAATGAATCATACATACATATACACATATTTGATGAGAGAGTCTACATCAGTTGTCCTAACCTAATGAATATGTCAATCCATGAGGGAATGAGGGACAATATACTAGAAAGATAAATAAGATTATTTATTAAATAATAAATAGGATTATTAAGACAAAGAGGGCTGGAGGCTACTGGGAATTACATCTCTGGCTAAGAGAGCTTAAGCAGGGAATACAATTAGTGCTTTTAGAGGACATAGGCTGGACATGGGCATTGAGTGGGGAAGCATTACCTCATGAATTAATGAAGTAGACAAGGCTCTAGTGGCCATTACAGAATGTTATGTTGTGTCCAAAGAGTTGCAGGAAACTGTTGAAACATTTTTAGCAGGAAAATAACAATTTTATTTTAATATATCATTCCAATAGCCTTATTGGGATTGAGTTGAAAATATCTTTGATTAGTTGATGGTAGGAAGATAATAGCAATCTCTAGAGAGAGAAGGCATAACCCAAATTTAGTTCATCCAGAGTGCTTTGAACAATCTAAATGTTGGAAGAGAGCTAGTTGAGCTCTTTTACCTAAATTCATAAATTCTAGGATCTTCTTATTCTAGCCTTGCCATAGCCAACCATGTTTTCTGAAGAAAAAGGGCTTGCCTTAGAGGAAAGCATAACTGAGCAATGTAAAGGGATTGAGTTCTGCTGGATCCTAATTTCACTTCCTTTGGATATATCACCAGAAGTGGAACTGCTAGAAAATGTGTTAGCTATATTTTTAATTATTTGAAGTCCCTCCATACCACTTTTTGTGGTGACTATAACAATATTTCCACCAACACTACATCAAGGTTCCATTTTCTTCACATCTTCATCAGCACATCATTTCTTCGCATTTTGATAGCAGCCATTTTTAAAAGAAATGAGGTTTTATCTCATTTTGCTTCACACTTTATTTGTGAGGCTGAGCCCCTTTTCATTTTGCTCACTAGTATGTCTCCTTTGGAGAAATATCTATTCAAGTCCTTTCCCATTTTTGATAGCAAACTTAGAATAATTTTATAAAGAAATATTTTAATGAACAAATACCCATAATTTCTAATAATGTTTTTAATTTAACGTTTTTAATTTTGAAGTGCTATTTGTTTATATCTTTATTACTGTTTTTAAGTAGGAGTCCCCTCAAGTGTAGTAAACTTGGCACACTGACCACCAATGCACACTGAGTCCTCCACCATAGTCCATCGTGCTCTCACCCAACCCTATCTCGACATTGCCTCTCTCCCTTTCCCTGTGGATGCTTCAGAGCAGAGGGGAACATAACTGAAATGAAGACACACTGAATGGTAGAAAATATTAGAATACCAAACATCCGACAAAGGACTGATATCAAAAATCTACAAAGAGCTCAAAGAACTGTCCATTTTTAATTAGACTTTTCTTGCTTTTGCTATTGGATTTCTTGAGTGACATATATTTTATTTATTAACTCCTCATCAACACATGATTTGCAAGTATTTTCTCATACTCTATAGGTTGCCTTTTTATTTGGACACAACCAGATGGGTTCTAATCCTGAAAATGATTTTCAATAATTCCATATATTGGAATTTTGTTCGACTTTCAGAAAAGTTGAACAAATAATAATATCCATATATTATTCTATGAAGAGGTCATAATTACATTTCATAGGATGGCAGTGATGATTAAATTTAACTATAAAAACTGAGAAATTCTCATCCATTTTTGCCTTTTAACTGATATATTATAGCCATCTAAAAATCAGTAGCCATCGATGGATTATTCAACAAATTATGTTGATCAATATCTTAATGATTTGAAGATTTAAATATATATATATTTAAATATATATATATATATATATATATATAAATGCTATATCAAAACTTCCAGATAAAGTATTTCAACTCTCTTTTAAAGTTAAAGAAAAAAGGATTGTCTGGAGACTATGCAAAGACCATAAACATAAAAAGGAAAATAATATAATCTATGCACTTAATTATATAAGAACTTTAAAAAAATGTTCATTGAAACATAAGAAGTTTAAAAATAACTTCTAAGACAGAAATTTATGCACAGCACATTTTAAAGAAAAGAACTTAATGGACTTTATTTGTGAAGAGTTCTTCAGAATCCACAAAAGACCAAATCATAAATTGAAAATGGAGAAAGTTCATGACTAAGTAATTTACAAGAGAAGAAATATAAATGATCAGTCAACATGAAAAGAGGTGCAACTAAAAATGTAAAGTTGAAGATATCTTTTTCCTATTTCAAATTATCAGAATTTAAAATCATGGATAATATGTTATCAAGAATTGTGGAAAAATATGTCAAATCAAACATTATTTAGGACAAGTTTAAAATGCCCTAGTATTTCTGAGATATGTTAAGGCAATATAGTAATATTTTTAATACATAACGTCATTTACACAGAAATTCCACCTCTAACACTTAAGCATAAGAAAATATTAAAAACAAAAATACATATGATATTACAACTTATTGGCATGTTTGTTAAAATATTGTTCATTAAAATATTTCTTTATAAAAATATTGTTTGCTATTAAAAATAATGAACTAGTAATAGCATTATTACTAGTGATATTAAAAGCAAAAATAAATTATCATTAATTTGATACTTATTCATTAAATATTTTATACAGTTTTATTTATTTTAAAGATTTATTATTTTTATTTATACAAGAACTGCGGTGCAAGCCAGAGGCGTGGGAGGGTGAGAGGATTCACCAGAGACAGAGTGGGGAGTAGAACAGGCAGATGAACTGAAAACACTGCTAAGGGGAGCAGCAGGAGAGACTGGAGAGCTCTGCCACTCCATGTGTGTCACCTCCCTGGACAGGAATTGAACCCGCACTACAGAAGCTACGGACAGCTTCACAGCATTACGCTCAACTCACTGCACCACAGGGGAGGCCCCTACAGTTTTAAGAAACAAGGAAGAGTTCTATATATTGCCATGGAAGTTGTTCATAATCTATTAAGTGGAGGAATGTATGGCTGAATAGAATTTAAATATATATTGTATAATCCTACTTATATATGAAAATATATCTTTATCCACACCAAAAATTATATATTCTTTTTTATAAGGTTATATCATTTTGATTTTTAATAATGATAAAGGTATTATTATTAGGAAACAAATATATATAGTAATAATTATATTTCATTTTGTTAAGTTATTTATGAATAATATCTCTTGTTTATAATGGGTGGGTTAAAGTGTATATATACACATGTTTTTACAATAAGAGATATTTAAGTTAAAATGTAATTAAAATTCTGAAGCTTGGGGGTTGGTATAATATTTATCTTCTCACTGTTTATAATTCAATGTAAGTCTGTGTTAAATATTTTAAGAGATTTCAAATACCTTTATATGACTACCCTAAAACTCCTTCCAACCTTTTGCCCATTCTATAACTATATAAATAAAGGAGGCAGAAATGTTTTAGCTTTGAATGTTTCAAGTTTCTCTCATTCTCAATCTCTTAAAACCACACTCTGCAAATTTTTGATTTGCGAGATGAGGATTTCAGCCACTGTTACCCTTTAAAAATGAGATAAAGCTTTTTTTAAATTATTACTACTGTTTTAAATTTTTTTGAACTTCAAAAATCTAACAAATAAAGATTTCTGTTTTACATCACCAAATCAATTCTTAGATTTAGGTCAGAGTATCTCATAGTAACCTTGTATGTTTGGGATGTATTTGTGTGTACGCATGCTTTGTAGCAAATAAGTGTATGTGCTCATATGTAACTTGCATGTGTATGGTTTATTGAGAGAATAAAAGTACAATATTTACCGAACATTTAAATGAAGCACATATTTAATTTTTTCCCTTTTGCAGATAGCACTGTGGATGATAAAGAGATTTTAATCAATGTGAGCTACAATTGCAGCCCAGTGCAAACAGCAGCAGCACCTGAGGTCAAGTTCATAGGTTCATTTCATTTTTGCAAATAGGATCCAATGTACCTTGAGAATGAAATTCAAATTTTGACAAAAGGATTTAGGCAAAATTTTTTTTGAAGATTATAAAAATGAAAAATGATATGCTTGGGCCTCCCCTGATGGCGCAGGCAGTTGAACGCAGCGCTGTGAAGCTGTCCACAGCCACTGCAGCACCTGTTTGATCCCAGCCGGCTGGCAAGGGTCCCACATAGCATGGTAGACCTCTCCTGTCCCACCCACTGCTCCCCTCAGCAGTGTGTTTAGTCAGTCTGTCTGTTCTGTTCCCTGCTCTGTCTCTGGTGAATCCTCTTACCCTCCTGTGACTCTGGCCTGTACCCTGGTTCTTGTATAAATAAACAAATAAATCTAAAAAAATGAAAAATGATATTTAATATTATACTATAGCACCACAAAAGGATATTTCTCCTAACTGCTTTATTTCTTCCCCAAACTGCAAAATCAACTTTGAGTACACAAAATGGGAAACTATGTTCACAATATGAAAAACCGCCTAACTTGGTCTAAGAGCCACAACAGTGAAAGTGGAAGAATAGGTTTGATTTTTGTATTATAATTTATTATTATCATTCACTTTCTTTTGGTCATTTGAAAAGTTTAGAAGTCTTAAATAGGTATAAATAATCACAATTTTTTCCTATCTTGACTTTTATATTTAATTTCTTTCTGTATTTTCTCTTTCACTTTTGCTTTTTTTTAAATTTAGGTTTATGAAATGTAAACATAGTACAGTTTGTGGGATATGTAGAATGACTGTGTCAAAGAGAAATATTTTTCTCTGATTATTTTTTCCACTGGCATTTTTTCTTCAAATTTAAATCTTATATTTGAAAGGTGATGGTACTATTGTATGGTTTGTATTTTGTTTTGCCTTTGCATTTTGAAGTAGAAGAAAAGGAAAGTACAAGCTTGACCTGGGAAATACTCATGAATGTGTGTGGAAGATCCTATTTTACTTCCAGGAATACTCCAGTCTTTTGGAGCGTGTACACACAAACCTATAGTAACATGGGGTAAAGTGATTATGTATTAGAGAAAAAGAAAATCAAGCACTTTGTCAGGAAGTAGAAGGGTATAAAACCACAGTAATTATCCAGATATAATGGAAGACTAAATCTCATTCAGTGTGAACATGCATTTTGATACATAATAAATTTTATATTTCTAGATTCTCTGTTGAACAGAAAAATGTGTATGAACTTAAGGGGATTAAAATGAAGGCTATCATGTTGCAGGAGATCTTCGGGAAAACATTTTTAAATATCCCAAACAGATAAAATGTAAGTGAGTTCCCTATAAATTACAACTTATATGTCATGCAAGTTGCTAGCCTGGACTGCCTTATAGTTTTTAAAAGACAAGGTGGGTTATTAAAAAACGTACATTAACTCATTGACAACTTAGTAAACCTAAGTCATGTTGGCGTCTTAAAATTTATATATTTTTAGGGCCTCCCCTGGTGGCGCAGCGGTTGAGCGCTGGGCTGCGAAGCTGCCCACAGCCTCTGCAGCACCGGTTCAATCCCCAGCCTATGGCGAGGGTCCCACATGGCACACACACCTCTCCTGCTGTGCCTGCTGCTTCCCTCAGCAGTGTATTTCATCAGTCTGCCTGTTCTGTTCCCCGCTCTGTCTCTGGTGAATCCTCTCAACCTCCCGCGTTTCTGACTGTACCCAGTGCTTGTTTAAATAAATAAATAAATCTTAAAAAAAAAAGTCAGTCTTAACTATTAAAAAAAATTATATATTTTTAAAAATGTGCTCTACTGTTCATTCACATGCAAAAGAGTCTATTCATCATGAATATGTATACACTTGTTCAAAACAATAAGATCACACCCCAAGAGCAAAATGTTTCTTAAGGAATGAGGCTTTATTCTTAAATGGTCCAAAATAGAATAGGAAAAGATGTTGAAAGTTTCTATGTTGTAATGCCCAGGTAATGTACTTACTACAGTTTTCTGCTTTCCTATTGTCCCGGATCACTATTCTTTGGTTAATAGTGCTGAAGAGCGTTGTCCAATTGATGGTATGATAATAACACAGGTTACTGTTGTCAGTAATATAGATGTTTCCTGCACTGATTTCCTTCAAGGACTGGAATTGTAGAGAAGTGATGCCCTGTTGCTTGAGGATAAGCAAGGAAAGTCCACTAGAGAGAAAGGAAGGGGAAATCAAACAATTATAAACATATTCTGGCTATGAAATGCATGCTTAAAGTAAAATAAGGATGCTACATTTAACTCAAAGATATGTTGAGACCATAAAAATACCGGAACGGTAAAATTGTGGCCTGAATACTATTTCTTTACATATTATACACACTGACAGTTTTAAAAGTAATCATTTGACACCTAAGAGGAAAAATCTTCATTTTTAGAAGCATGAATATTAATGACATACGTCTATCCTGGCATACATATTTGCCATTGGAATCCAGCATCCCCCGAATCTTAAGTTCTCCAGGGATGAGAGTCTGCATTAGCACTAAATAATTTTAAAAAGTATTTATGGGATGAATGTAAACCTACTCAAAGTAAGACATTAATTCCATTTTAACCACTTGGTAAATTAGAAATGGGTCTGGGGTATAAATATTGCAAAAAATAATGATCAATATTTTTATTTAATCTGTATCTCAAAAACCAAAGTTGTAATAGTTGATATATATGGTAGGATAGCAGATATTAAAAATTAAATAGAGGTATGAAATTAAACTAAAATTTAAAAAATATATAAGGATTGGACAATTGGGGAAAGTATCTCTAGAAGTTAAATAACAACAACTATATTGAAATAAATTATCATTTCAAGGGAAATGCTTCTAATCAGCATAGTCCATGTTTTGTAATTAATTGTATTTCCACTCTATAAAGAATAGTTGTGTTTTCACATTTTAATCAACTAAGGAACATGATTTTATATTTTGAAGATCAAAGTTTCCTTTTACTTCATTTATAAGTAAATATATATGTCCAGATATACATACATACTTTGATTATTAAAATCAAAGACTAAAAAGAGATTTTGTTGTTACTATTCAGAATAGTTCCTTATGTAATACTTATGATATAAGTCAACACAAAACACAGACACACACACTCACATATATATATATATATATATATATATAACTTTTGTGTACGTGTGTATACTCAACTGCAATTCATTCATTCTCTCATGTCATGGTTCTAATCATGACCACCTTGAGTTGTTGATTATATACCGAGCATAGTGCCTTGACAGGTTTATAACATTTTATTCAGTGGATAGTAACTGTTGGTTGCATATAGCACTTGGAAAGATAGCATCACTCAGCTGTCTTTTTAAATTAGGCACATTTCCTTTTTATATCTATAAAACCTACACAGATAGAACAAATTTACTAGCAATGTTCAGTGGGATTTCTGTGAAATATTATATAGAATACATGCCAGCCTTTTAAACATTTTCAATATTTAAGCAAAAAAAATCAATCAAAATCTCCTTGTGTAGATTAACTTCTAAATTTTGATAAGAATTATCTGCAGATAAAATTGATATAAAAGCAGTGGATTAGTAAATATTGCTCATATATTTTTATTATGTTAGTAAAGAATTTATGCATTAGAACTTTAGACCACTGTCCTCTGAGTCCTGACTTTTCTGTCCATCATTAGCCATCACTATATGTCGGGTGATGGATTGATGCTGAAACATCATCCCTGTAATGCTTGTTTCCAATAACAGCTCCAGTAAAAGAACCACCTTCTTGTAAAACAGTTTTTATGTCTCACATACCATACACCTAAACCATTACCAAATCATCTAACAGTTATCTCTTAATCATGATAACATGATCAAAAAGAATAAATTTTATGATATCATGTATTCCAATTCACTAATATTATTTTAAGCAATAGGTGGTTGAAAATCAAACTGTGTATGTTGTAAACTTTATAGCACAATCAGGGATATTTTTCTTGGAGTTTACCTTTGGAATTAGAAGAGGAAATCCAGTGTTTCCAGAATAAGTAAATCACTGAGATAGTTTTGACATAATGTACATATGATGTTATTCTTGAAATCTGAAGAGCTGAAACCTTGAATATATATACCTACCTATAGAGCACTCTTCCGCCAATGGTCACCAGGTTAGAAAAAACACTGAAATCAGTCATGTTTGGGGGCCATGATTGTATATTTAAGAAACCTATAAAATATAAAACCAGGAAAAAATTTTCAGATTATCATTGTGTTATGTCAAAGATTTAGATGATTCTTAATCTGAATTATTCTTTTGAAAGCAAAAATAATTAAATAGGATCAAAAATTATTTCAATTTCTCTGAAATCCTATACCACTTGATCCTTATATTTATGACATGAGTTACCTACTTGTCTGTCTGTCTGTCTATATCTGCCTATGTATGTATGTATGTATGTATGTATGTATGTATCTATCTATCTATCTATGCATCCATCTAAGAAATTCATCTCCTATCCCAAGACATGTAAATAATCAATCTTCTTCATTTGCTTTTATATTCTTTGATGGCATATCACAGATTTGAATCAAACATAGATATGCTATCAAAGATCACTAAATATCAAATATATCACTAAATATCAAATATATCACTAAATATGTGCTAAATGACTGTTAAATGTTACCCATGCTCAATAGTAGTTTTTGTAAAAAAAGTAAATAGAAAAACATGTATTCAAGGAAAACTTCACAATTCCAAAAAACCAGTAACATCAAATTTTAAGGTAGGGCCTCACTGGTGGCACAGGTGGTTGAGCGCAGCGCTGTGAAGCTCTCTGCACCCTCTGCAGTGCCAGTTCAATCCCTGCTGGCTGCAGAGATACCCACATGGCATGGCAGACCTCTCCTGGCTAGCCTGCTGCTCTTCTCAGCAGTGTATTTCATCAGTCTGCCTATTCTGTTCCCCGCTCTGTTTCTGGTGAATCCTCTCACTCTCCTGCACATCTGGCCTATACCCTGGTTCATGTATAAATAAATAAATCTTAAAAAAAAAAAAATTAAGGTATTGTTTTTAAATTTCACTGGCTTTCAAAATGGGCACAAATAAGGAGTGTGGGTGTGGTGCAGTGCGATATCTGAAAAGGTGTGAAACTAGAGCTCTATGTTATATACTGTGTTGTAAAATTATGCTACCTCAATTAAAAATTCAATCACAGAAATTAAATGACATACTTTTTTTAAACTGGAATTTGCTTTGAAAATGATTTGCTGATTTCAAAATTATGTTATACTTTCAAGAAAACACTGAAATCCATGTTGATCCCAATTCAATCACACTTCTAAAAGTTACCTGTTATCTCTCTGACTGTCCGAAAGACATTCAGTTTCTCTGGGTCTATTGCTTCAATTGCATTGTAAGGATCCCTAGAAAATTCAGAAGAGAAACAGCCAAAATAAAGCAGAGAAAATATGAGATATATGACAATGTTCGTTCCATTCAAAATGCAATTTAATTCGCAAAAACATTTTAAAGTGACTTGTCTTAAATTTTCTATACTAGATATAGAAGTGGAGTAAAAGGTACACTAAGGAAATTTTTGGTGACAGAGAATATGTGCTCTTCATTGAAGGCTGTTTCAGATCTATAGGAATGATCCTGTTTGGCGATTGCAAAATAATCCCCAAATATAGCATGTCCATTTATGAACATTTTATTTTGGTTTTAATACTTTATTCTTAATTGGAGAAAAATAATCTGCTAATAAATTTTGCTATGATGAGAAAAATTGTCTTCTGGGCACTTCAAAGCTTTCTAAATTGCTAATAGCACCTGTAATTTCACAAGAAGTATAAAAAGGAACATACACAAAGTCATTTTTTGCTGCATCTTCACATTTATCTACTAGTCAATTTTCATTATATTCAGAATGTCATATGAAAGTGACACTTTATATAGATTATTTAGAGCAATCTTGTTCTGACCTGGTTTATTTATATCCATTTTTATAACACAGGAACTATTTGCTTCCATATATATGAATCATACTAATGTTTGAAAATAAAATTTACAACAAATTTAATAATACTCAAAAGGTGTTGCAAAATTTGAGGTCTTTAAAAATATCTTTTAAAGTATAGAGGTAATTTTTACTATTTGTACTATTAGTTTGTACTATTAGTTTGTATTATTAGTACTATTATACTATTGGCATATATTTGCCCTGTCTTTATAAAAAGTTAACAATAAATTTAAAAAAATAAATAATTAAAAAGTGAATATAAAATATCATTAAAGTTAAATATTTAATGATTTTTTTCAGAGGTTTTAATCTTAGGAAAATATGTTTCATGTAAAAACATATTAACCATGCAAAATAAATTACATATTTGAATACTGAGTCAAGCATAAACATCATACCAAACATTTCTCATTATCTCTATCCACAATTTAGTTTTTTAAGGAATACACAGTATTTATATTTTATTACTTCAAAAGACATTCTGTGCTATCCTGGGAAAGCAGAGTCCTCATATTAATATAAACCTTTTAGGAAAAACTAAACTATTCATTGGCCACTTCTAGGAAACACCAAACATGAGAACCATAAATTTAGAATTGTAAGAAGCATGTATCCATCTATAGCAATCAATAGAGTCTTACTCATATTTGGACATCTGTTGCTTTAGCAATCTTTGAGTACCATCTTTTTCATGTGGGGAATTAACACTTGAATGTGTCCTAATGGGGCTACCAATCAATGTGCTCCACAATTCACTGACTGACAAATAGGCCAACTGCTTCCATATGGAGATCTGAGTCTAAATCCACTGGCATTTATTCATGCTAAACTTAGAACTTTGAAAAGACTCTACTAGTTGCAATAATTTTGAACTTTGGCACTATCTTGTACTGACTTTCTCAACCTGCTTTATCAGCAGTAATCTTCTATATTGTAAACCACCCCATATCTTAAAATAATAACACTTAATTGATTAAATTACTATTTCAAACAAAGAAGTGTGAGCCACACAAAATACTATTTGTTGAACAAAGTATTACAGAAGACTCAAATAACTGGGTATTGATGAAGCTGAAGAAACACTACAAATGAATTTCTCTGTAACTCACATATAATTAAGACTTTCCTCACTGTGATTTGAATATTCCTCAAAAGTGAAAGCCTAAATTAAATCTTCTTGCAAATTTATTCAGTTTATAATTGAATATATATAAAATGAATATGCTTCTGTTGAGTACAAAATTAAAAAAAATTAAGTTTACCATTGGGAAAGTTTTTTGTAGATATTGTGTTTTAACATAATGGTATTTTTTTATTCAGAAGAAATAGCAGCTCTACAATTATAAGCTTTCAACATTTATTCTTCTCGACAAGCAGTATACAGAACAACTCTGGTCATATAATCAAATATTCTGATTTAATTGACAAACACTCAAAATTCAGGACAATTACACATGTGATAATTTCAAATCTTTATCCATGTTTCCAGGAATAAAATGAATTCTTAACTGTTCACCTGAAGACCAATGAATCAAAGATATTTTATATACTTTATTTTATAGATTTTTGATTCTCCAAAAATATGTTAACAGAATCCCACTTACCAACATCAAAGTACCACTAGGGAATTTCATCCTACAACCACCTGAAAATATGATCCTTTAAATAGACAACATTCTAGCTAAATTCAGAGTCATGTCAAAGAACATGATCCCACCCTGTCTTTATCTTTGATGATTCAAAATAAAGTTCAGGATAAAAAGACATTTTCACAATTTCACTGAAATCATTTATTGTTTCAGTAAACCTATCATCTCTTTCCCATCACCTATCACTGCAGTTTATCATCTAAGTCCTTTCTTGTCATTGACTCCTTGTGGTACATCATGGACACACTGATTTGGTGAACACTGTGTTACTCAAAACAGACACACAAAAAAGTCTCAAATCTGACAAGACACCAAAGGGGAATATTGCTATGAATAACCCTAAACATTGAGTTTTGCCTGTGGTTCCCATTCTAAATAAGGAAATAAGTCTGCCTTGTCTATTTCTGGCAATGGTGTTATTATGCTATAAATGGAACATGCCATTTAGCTTTGTTGAGTGCATTGATATGTTAAGTCGTTAACTGACAAGTTGACAAGTATATTTGCTTTTTGCAAAAACTTGTTTTTGGGAAAAAAAAACCTCATTTAATTACAAAATTTGCCTTTTTTTAGCCTAAAGAATTACCTCAGTTTTAGTCAACCCATATAACTGTTAAAAACTAGTTAGTAGAAATTTGAAGGTATTGGGTATAAAGCTAGGTAAAATGTTTCTTTAATGTGCTGGACATTTTCTGTTTATAATAATCTGCATTATTCACTTTGAAAATCTCTTTCTCCATGTATACACACAAATATTATATATATGAATACTAGCCCCACTGATTAACTTTATAATATTACTTTCTTAAAATGAAAGGGAAAGATTTCAGAACATATGTTTCCTGCTGTCATAAACAAGAAATTAGAAGAATATCACATATATATATATCATGTATATATGTTTATTTATATATAATGTGTGTATATATATAAATGTATATATTAATATAAATATATATATATATTTATCCTGGAAAATATTTTACAAAATTATGCATTAGACACAATAGTATTAATTATAATGTTAATAGCCAAATATGTTATGTTTATATGCTATGATTAAGGGCAATTAATAACATTCAGAATTAAGCAAAATTTCATATAAAGAAAATATTGCCATGAAAATAATTTGGCCCTTATTTAGTTTTCAACTCTTTGGGCCAATATCACTGGAGCAGATATGATGTGAATACATATTATTACAGTATATGATATAGGCCAATATGACAGGCTACATTTTAAAGTAAAGAAATGCTTTATATATAAGATAAAGTAATTAATTTCAATGAAAAGAAACACTTTGTTTTATTTCTTTTGCTGTTCCTATTTCTGCATATTTATTCATAAAGGTGGTAAATTACTTCTAGAAAAGATGTGATATATGTTTAGAGTAAAATTTTGAATTGAAATATGTGAGTGATATTCTTCAAGTGTAGCCTGTAGCACTAATATTTAGAAATTAAGTAGTGATATAGACAAATAGATAAAATATAAAGTAAAAATATTGACATTTTTATTGATGCTGAAAGAACTCAAATGTGGTCGATTTCCCAGTTAAAATCAGCAGGTGGTTCTGTAATGAAAGAGCCTAGAGAATGGTACAATTTTTATTGTCAAAATGAATTAATTTAATAGATCTCTTACAATAGTACTAACTTCCCAACTTAAGAAAAGAAAATAATACATCAGGGCAAAGAGAATTTCTGAAAGCTCAACAGAGTTTTGACTTACTGATCTATTATTTCAGATACATTTTTAAAGGAATGTAGGTTGTCTTGGTCTAATTCATTAGAACTTTGAAAGAAATTCCCCACTTCACTCATTGACTGTTTTCCTAAACATAACTGAAAATATGATAAGCCTATTGAAATTTGTGAATTTGATGAAGATGTACTTACATTTTAGCTTATATACAAATTTATATTTGCAAATCCAAGTAGTAACCAAACAATCTGAATGTATAGTCAAATTTTGGTTAACTATCATGGCCTGTTGAATTCTGGCATTTGATTTTTGAGAAGAGCATTAATGTAAGTCAGATTTTTCTGGGTTAAAGGAATCAAACACACAAAGCTTAAGACTTAAGTGTATAAAGAAAAATTGAATTGGACTTTCAATGGTCATCTAAATGTTGTATATAGAGACATTGTTCCATAATTTTGTATACCTGAAACTTATATAATGTTATAATGCAATGTTACTTCAATAATTTTTTAAAAAGAATCTTTTAAACTCTCTCTAAATGTTATAAAATAATTTTCTACAAAAATTTAATACTGACCCATGAATACCAGTGACAAGGAAGATCAAATTTCCATTGATTTTGGTGCAGTTTATGAATTTGTCAATGTTACTGGAATCCACCGTCTGAGCTGACATCAGTGATCCTGTGCCAATGCCATCACAAGCTGTAGAAACAAGATTCATAGCTATGGAGTCAAGAAGTATTTTTTAAAGTCCATAAGTCATTGCATTTTCTTTATAAAATAACAATAATTTTTACTATAAAATAAAAAATATTTATCATAAGAAATCAATTGCTGGGTCCTCCCTGGTGGCATAAGGGTGAAAGCAGTGCACTATGAAGCAATCTGCAGCCTTGGCAGCATGAGTTCTATCCCCAGCCGACCAGGGAGCAACCCACATGGCGCAGCAGACCTCTCCTGTCTCATCTGCTGCTCCCCTCAGCAGTATGTTTCAGTCAGTCTGCCTGTTCTCTTCCCACTCTGTCCCTGGTGAGTCATTTCACTCCCCGCATCTCTGGCTTGTACCCAGCTCTTGTATGCATAAATAAATAAATATAAAAAAATTAAGAAATCAATTGCTTTCTAACAAATAAAATAATCAATAATTCATGCAACATTTGCTAACAGGCCTGCTTTATAAAATTTCCCTTGCATTATGATAGTCTAGTGACCATTACTCATTGTGAGAATTATATTTTATATCAAGACTCAGCATATACACACAATGTGTATATATATATATATATATATATATATAATTAAACTTTTTCATCAATCAATACTTCCTCTTAGTAAATAAAATCACCACTTTTCTAAACCATTCTATAGTATTATTTTTAATATTTGTTAACTGTTGGTCATTTTAGTAAAATAATATCATAGCCTTTTTTTGGTCTACAGCCTGTGGTTATGAAAACACTAATCTAATAAAGGATAAATGTTAAAGAGAATACTAATGTGAGTTATAAATGGAATGAAGACATTTAAATATTTATACTTAAATGAGTATTACTTGTGCTTTATGAAGACTACTTAAAAAAAACACACACATAAAAGAGAAAGGTGGGGTGTATATATAAAAGTAAGCCTGGAGTTTGCCTTTTGATACATTGGGAGACTAAATATTCAGAAAATTATATCGTTCTTTTATTCTGATTAATTTCAGTTTCATTCTATTGAGGATTTTTAGCATGACAGCTGAAAGAAAGGTCATTTTCACTAAATTCTGTAACATGAATTAAATGCAACATTTATTTAACCTCTGTTGTAAACTTACTTATCATTTCATATATGTTACTGCTCAAAATAATTTTTAATACCTGGAAAGTAAGTTATGTTGCATGTCTCCTTGCACCCCCTTTTCACACATTTCATGTCATCATGCATAGAGTACTAGCAACTAATATTTGCCTTCATGCTATTGTGATCAAGTGAACCCTTGTTTAGCATCTAATTTCTAAGATTGGCTACATATAGAATAAAATACTTTAAGACTTTCTATCAAAGTTAATTCTGAGTTTTATTTGCATCAGTTTGGTATACACCATTGAAAAACCAATAATATTCACTATTAAGACAGTTGATACTGTGGGGAACTTTCCAAATTTATGGGCAGATTTGTTTGTAGTAGTTGTGTGTGCTGAGAGGCTAATTTAGTCAACCCAGTTAAAAGTGAATGAAATACCTTGGTATGGACCCCTGCCAAAATAATCCTAGTTAAAACTCACCTTTTGGGCAAATGTCAGTGCAAGGTTTACACATTTTAATCCCATTTTCTTCTACTTCCATTTTTGAACTAGGGCAGGCACGCACACAAGAACTGGAATCAACCACAAAGTTATCTGATAAAAAAAGGTAAAATTAGCAATAATGTTGTGTTCAGCAAGTAAGTTTAAAACGAGATATTTAAACATCTGAAAATGAATACCAGCACTGATAGTATAAATATATCCTTATTTAAAATAATTATCTGTTTAAATATCTCAACCTGATACATCATTTTCACACATTCACCTTCAGATCCAAGGGCAGCATGTGTTAACAACTCATATTTGCTTGACTACTACTCCACATCCTGAATTGCCCCCAAGACAGAGTGAATTCTTTTATTGACTCAGGAAACTACATGACATTTAGTTTGTGTTTTTCAATAGTTCCACTTCATTTCATGTCATGATGCAAGTTTGAAGTCTAAAAATGCTTCAAGTTACATGGAGCACAAATGAAGCTGAAGTTAACTGCCAAGGATCGAGAGAGTGCACTTCAAATCTAGGAGGAAATGTTTAAAATGTGTTCTGGGGCCTCCCTGGTGGCACAGGTGGTTGAGCGCAGCGCTGTGAAGCTGTCCACAGCCTCTGCAGTGCCAGTTCAATCCCCACTAGCCGCAGAGCAACCCACACAGCGTGGCAGACCTTTCCTATCTCACCCGCTGCTCCCCTCAGCAGTATATTTTGGTCATTCTACCTATTCTGTTCCCCACTCGGTCTCTGGTGAATCCTCTCACCCTCCCGCACATCTGGCCTGTACCCTGGTTCTTGTATAAATAAAATAAATCTTTAGAAAAAAAATCAACCGCTCAAAAAAAAAAAAATGTTTTGTCTTTCAACAGCGTGCCACAGAACTGTCCCACGGTTTTACAGGAAAAATTAAGACTTTAGCAATGTTATACTAAGTAAACCAGAAATATCATCTATGACCTGATATGTTGGTAAAATATTTAAGAGTCCATCTGAAATAATCTAGGACATTTCCTTTCCCAATAAAGAACAAATTATTGCATTTAGAATCTTCCATAATAAAAGTAAAGCATGGTATCTGCTAAGTCACTTTGAGTTTTGGAGACAGCAGCTTTCCATATCTGAGAATACTGTTTCTGGCCCAATATTCAATGATATGAAAATTTTCTGGCTTGAAGGACCCCAGAGCAGGAAAGGATATGACACAAGTCTCAAGTTGGGGTACAGCAAACCTGGTACTTGGGTTATAAAACCCAAGAGGCTCTATGAATTAGAAGTATCTGTGATGGGAAAAATATACTCTTGGAATTATAGTCAGTCCTGAATGAAAGATCACATCAGAGATATCTAAGATTCCATAGCTAAGTCATACCATCTGCAGCATTTAACAGACAGCTCTGACACATTTCTGGATCCTAGCAGAGATATAGGACCTTACCACATGTTATCTATTGTCTGACCTTGAGCCAGATTTGCACATCAAGAACAACATTTTGTTAGAACCAGGCATCATAAAATTGGTTAGGTCCAATAGCAATCCATTATAATATTAAAGTGGTACGTTTTGGAAATGGATAGAAGCAGGAACAGAGGCACAAGCAAAGTGCACAGAGAAGTGGTTCATATCCCCATGTCATCTACCTTTATGCTGGCATCTCTCACACAGCTTATACCTATTGCTGCCTAAGGACCAAGGGAGGGCACTTATGGCAATGGCCAGTGATGACCTAAATAAGCTTGATTTATAGATGCAAGTTTAAAATATATGTAGATGCCCTGCAACCTCACTCAGGGGTGTAAGTTTAAATCCTAACGATATGCACATTTCTGGGTAGTGCAATTGATTATTCACTTTGTGTGCAAGGGGCCTGAGCTTAGAGTATATATGGACTAATGAACAGTATAGCTTTTTCCAGGAGAAAAAAACACTGGAAATGGGGGACTGAATGGACACTGAGGTGAAGGGGGATACATTAATTCATGGGACTGGGCAAAGTGTGATGATCTTTGCATTCCAAGTTAACATCCACCAGAGGAAATAGATAACAAATTGGCACTTTCTTGAGGTTACATCATAGTCCAATTCTCTACTTTCCTCCCAGACGTTGATTTTGAGAATATTCCTCAACAACCTAAGATCTGTCTCTGAGGCCTTGCAAAAGAGAAATATACCATATGGTAAGTAACTATCTTTTCTGGAAAGTCTTTAGGTATGTCCCTTATTTAAATACTTCCACACTTTAAAAGCAATTTATGTCAAATAAAGTCATAAAGACTTTAAATATTCTCTTGTTATATTCAGGTTTTACAGTCAAATTACTTTCAAAGAATATTTGTTGTTTGGAGTTTTTGAATTTCAGAATTCTGGATTAGGGATCATAGACCATTGTGTAGAAGCTAAAGATCTTTATTTCTTCAAGATAGCTATAGTTTATACCATGTCTAATAAGCATAGTTCAAAAAAAGTCTGAATATTACTTAACAAATATGGAAATGTTTTAAATTAGTGCATAATTTGATATCCCTAAACTAATCCAAAAAAGGAAGATTGTGAATTACCAAATTGAAATTAACTTGACAGGTAAGTCACAATCTCAGTGTTCATCTACTTACTGCAACTTAGTTCAGAGTCTGATGAGCCACTCTAAAGAGTAAATTAGGGTCTCCCCTGGTGGTGCAGGTGGTTGAGTGCAGCACTGTGAAGCTGTCCACAGCCTCTGCAGTGCGGGTTTGATCCCGGCTGGCCAGAGAGGATCCCACATGGCGTGACAGACCTCTCCTGTCTCGCCTGCTGCTCCCCTCAGCAGTGTATTTAGTCAGTCTGCCTGTTCTGTTTCCTGCTCTGTCTCTGGTGAATCCTCTCACCCTCCCATGCATCTGGTCTATATCCCAGTTCTTGTATAAATAATCAATCTTTAAAAAATAAAGATGGTAGAGTAGGAGGATATTCATTTAAGAAAAAGAAATGTTCATCATCTAACCCCAAGCTACAATACTTTCTGTTCTGCAAGTGTCCGCAGATGATAAGATACATAACTTTAGATAAGAGGATATTACATCAAAAACCTAAGTTGTGATATGAAAGTGTTGAAGACAGAAAAACCTCTACTATCCTAGAGTTAGCATAGCTGTGAATTTAAAATACCAATTCAGAGATATAGTATCTTTAAATAAGTAAATAAATATGCAAACACACACATGTATTTATATATTTATACATATAATATACAAATATGTATATAATCAAAATAATTATTCTTTTAATCAATATAAAAATGATGAGAGTTACTGTTTTCAAGGACTTGGTTTTATATCTATCCCTCTGATCCTTATTCCCTGTCCATGTCATTCTTTTAATAACCCTGGGAAAAAGAAGAGAGATGACTACTGACATTCATATCTTAAAGAGGAAAAAGTAGACAACTAAACAGCCCAGTTACAATCATGTGACTAATAAGAGGGCAAAGTCAGGACCCATAGCCACTTCTAACCCCACATTCCTTATATTTACTACTCTATCGTATGCAGAAAGTAGACAAAATCATACAATCTGCATGTTGCAAATTGTAAACACTTCTTCCTTTAAATGACTGTGGACAAATACATCTATTTTTCAATCTTTGCAAGATATTGAATTGTCCCATTGGGTACTCCAAGCAAAGAAACTGCTCAAGCAAATAACAAGATGTGTATTTTACTGCATGTTGAAAGTTAGGCTGGTCACTTTGTTCTTTTGGCTTAATTTTTTTTTTTTAATTGAGGTTGCAATGGTTTACAGTTCTGTATATCACTCAGAGGTATAGGATCACACCATTTCAGAGGTGTGTTACCACATCACACCTGCCACCAATATAGTCTTCCATTCTAGCCCACTGGAACCCCAGCCTCCTTGTGCTCCCCTCCCCTCTCTGGTATGGAATCTATGGAATCTTAACTTTCAATCTCTGGGAGAGTAATCAATTTGGTAAGATCCCCTTAGCATTCCCTGTACATTTATTGCTCTTGTTTAAAACTAGATTTGATATTTAAATATTAACACTAGATATTCTACTATAAATAAGTAATGAGAAATAATTTTAGCAAAAATTTCATTGTCATTGGAAGCAAATCTTATTGATTATACAGTTTGCTGTTACCTAAGTACTTTTCTGAGAAACTGCGCAATTTTCAAAAATGTTTCAGTGTAGTGAAATAATGAGCTTAGAAGACAATGACACTGAACTCTCACCACAAACATGCCACATCCTTACTGAGACTTCGTAATTTTAATTTTTTGAATTTTAATGTTTGTGACAAGGCAGCGATAATATCCATATACAAAGGAATTCACAATACTGTTACACATTTCAAACTAAAATGAATTTACATGAAATTCCTTTCTTTTTAAACCATGCTCCATTTAATAAGGTTATTCTTCTTTTGTTACTTACGTGGGCATTTCTTAACACAGAAGGCACCGTATGTGTACTTTGCATTGAAGTTATGTTCCAATTGAAAAGTGGTTGGGTTGTAGACAAAAGTTTGGGGACACTGTGTAACGCATGCTCCACTGTCATTGAAATTCATACAGGCCTGCAATGTAGCAAACATCACTTTCATTCAAAGATAACAATATTTGTTAAAGGGATACTGCTACAAAAATTGCTTTACTTAGCATTCCATGTTCTTTTATGTCAATTTCATAAAAAGCTGCACAGTTGAATTTTACAGCTGTTTGTATTTAATTTTTTCAGTTCAAATTCGTTTCTAACGTAAAATTCTACAAAGATTTTCCCCATGTTAGTAAATACACCATTTACATTCTTGCTTGGATTCAATCATTCATTTATCTGATAAACAATGAATATCTCACATATCCTGGCATTGAGGTAGACTTAACGGATTTCAGAGTTTATAAAATAGACATTGTCTTTGCTTCCATGGAGTTAATGGGCTAATAAATAAATCAAACATGTATACCATCTATCCTTCTGGATGTTCAAATTGTTTGGTATGTATACACCAACTTCTAAACTGAGAATTTAGAAGCTCACACTTATTTATGTTTAATCTTCGAGTCTGAATTGACAACTTAATCCCCACTTGCACACACCAGACTTTTCTTAAAGCTGGTATTTGGAAAGTTCAGTGCCTTAGGGAAGCACAATGGGAAACACAATCATGGACACTGCATGATGCGAAAACATAGTGATGGTCATTTACCCTGGGCTTAAAGAAACTGCTCTGGCAGGTTACTGTCAATGTGTAAAAATGGTGTGTGTGCGCCAAAATTTGCCAAAGTAGCTATAGAGAGCCCATAATAAAATAACATGATGCCATTTCTTGTGCCATCTTTCCATAATGACACAGCACTTAGTTAAAGCTACTAAATTCAATGAAAACAATTCATTTCTGCTTATTTACATATTTGTATTGAGATCTCAATTTTTAATATTTAAAAAAAATTTAATTAAACCATTTGCCATCTGAGAGTTAGACACTTGATATAAAAATAGAACAGAGGTGTAAGTACATAAACGTGGTTAACAAAAGAGTAGACAAACTAATTATCTTAATTAAAATATTAAATCTTCATAGGAAAAATTTAGGCTTTGGATGGCAAGCTATAGTTTACAGTTTATCATAAATCGTATATGTATGGTTATTAAGAAGCATTAATTTATGTTGTTTCCTCAAAACACTTTCTTCATCAATTGTTGTTTTGGCAAGTACTTTATCATAAACATGACAATTCCCTGAAGATGGTCTACTAGATGCATAATCAGAACAAGACTCACTGATGATATATTATTCACTAAGTTGACACTTTCCAGGAAGGGTCTATTAAAAACCAATCTAGAAAACTACGTAAGTTTTAATTTATGACTGTAAAACTTCATGTGTCCTCATAATTGCTTATATAACATACTTGATGCAGTGCCATGCACAGATTACTTAACAACAAAGGGACATACTTGAGCAGGCAGAATCAACCAAATTTACTTTGTAGACTGCATGTAAATGACAACATAACTTACACAGAGGCTTGGAAGTGGCATTCTTGAACATTTTCTACCAAATGCCAAATTGGAATCACTAGACAATTCCATAAAAGTAGTGAAATGAGAATGCTGAAGCTCACCGATGCTTAACATGATGATGGGGGAAAATGCAGAGAAAAATATCTAACAAAAAGTTACGACTGTTGTCTGTATGCCTCAATTTCATTGCTTTGGAATTGTTAACATGACAAATGGTTCAATGTTCTCGAATCAAGTTTACATCCTATGAGTGGCAACATCAAGGAAAAGTCTCAGTTTAAGATCTGCGGAGCAGAGGTGGAGAAATGATGATGACAATAACTGAGGGGGAAAATCTCTTGTGAGAAAACAAAGATGTAAAACAATGGCACTTCATTTTTAAAAAATAATTTAAAAATAAAAAATTTTAAAAAGACCTGAGTAAATCCCTTAAAATTTTCAACATTTTCCCTTTCTTCTCTTCCGCCATACCTACTCACTCTGTAATACACTTTTGCTTCACTAGCATATTAGGCTAGACAAGGGAAATTTTTTATAACATTAAGGAAATTAAGAAAGCATTGCCTATATCACAAGAAATGTAATTTATGTTTTGCTTGCTTCCAGATTAAGTGCTTATTTGAAAAACAGTGCTCATGTATATATTATTATCTATATCTAGATATTGATATCTATATTTATAGATATGTATATTTAGATATATATGATCTATTTAAGTGTGTATATTTTGATATATATTGATATATACATATTCTTAAGTGCTCTTAAGGGGAAAAATAAATTCCAGTTTTCATTTTCAGGAGCAAAAGTAATTTCCTATTTCATGATTTTTAGCTTACAATGAAACTAATCTTCTGTTGGATGTGTATATGAAGTTGTGTAAACTGTAGTTCACAGAATTGTTAATATGTGTGGAACAAAAACAGCTATATCAGGATGTCAGAATATAATTAAAAGTGTCCCCAATAAGTTTGAAATGTTAATTTTAATGAGTTAAATTGTCTTCTAAAATAAAAATCACATGGATCAGCATATAAATTTAATATATATATAATATATAATCTGAAAATAGTTAAATTCACAAATTTACGTACTTGAAAATCTACATTCAAGAATGAAATTAAGTGCCCCCACAGACAAGACCCAACAATGCAAAAACACGAAAATGAAATCACTGTAAATTTTGGAAGAATGTTATTAGTCTTTGAAATGATATCTCAATACAGTCCCTTTCACATTCTCCAATATCACTTAAATTATATCAGAAGGACATAATTCACTTAGTAGAAATGAGCAATTCTAGTTAATCAGTAGCCACCCAGTGAGGGAATGGCTTCCAGGAAAGGAGAACATCGTTCTATAAACCAAAAAATGTGAAATTTGATATTATTTTAATAAGACATTAAAGATTCCATGTGCGTGAGTCAAATTGGGGAGAGGGAGAACAGGAGGAGAGAAAGAGACATACAAAGCAGTCAGTGTCCTTGGGTCCTGAGCAGCCTCCAGCACATTCTCTGTGGCAGCAATCACTGACGTAGGGTCCATAGCACCTGCCATCACATTGCTCTGCACACACCGTCCTTGTCACTGCAGAAGACAGAGAAAGCCTAGATCAAAGTCTGCCACAAGGGAAATTCCTAAGGTTATTTAGAATAGCTGAGAACAGCTGAGCACTGGAGTGGTAATTACTCAGCACACAGTATTGACTCAATTCAGCAAACATTTACAAGGTGAAGGCTGAACCTAGATCAAAATTACTACACAAAATGCTTCAAAATTAAAACAAATTTATTTTACATACTTTCTTATTCCGACAGTGCTTTACAAAAATCATACAATTTAACAAGCAGGAATCAATTTTGAAATAAGTGAATGAGGCACTTTGGCAGGTTGGAAAAGATGGAGATGTACGGGAAGTCAATTCACAATGTTCATGGTGAGGTCTTAAAGCAGAAAGTGTCCTCAGACATAAATCTAAGATTTTTAGCTGACAATGCAAAAAAGGAAACAAGCTTTTAAATGATTCCCATTTTATTTTATATGATTTCTCTCAGAGAGATGGACAGAGAGACAGACTGATCAGTATTATCAAAACTATTTATATTCCTGTGTTTTAAGTGAAATTTCTACCAAAATTATTCATAAAAATGACCTGTGCAGGGGATGGAGAGATGACAGGAGGGAGTAGGAAAGGGAAAGAGGAAAACGATGGAGGGAACATTAATATCTAAAATATATAAAGAACTCTATAACTCAACAAAAACTCAAACAACCAAGGCAGTCCAAATTGAGCAGAGAATCTGAATAGATTCTTCTCCAAAGTAGACATTCAGATTGCTAACAAAATCATTTACAAATGCTCAACTTCATATATTATTAGGGGATTGCAGATCAAAAGCACGATGACATATGACCTCACCCCTATGAAAATGGCAAATATCAAAAAGACTATAAACAATCTGTGTTCACAAGGGCGTGATGAAAAAGGAATTCACACTTTTTTGGGGAATGTAAATTAGGGCAGCTCCCTTGGAAAATGGTATGGATATTCTTTAAAAATCTAAAAATGGAGGTAACATATGATATTTATTTATTTATTTATTTATTCATTCATTCATTCATTTATTATTGCATAGAAAAACTGGGGTGTAGGCCAGAGGTGCAGGGGTGAGAGTAATCACCAGAGACAGTGAGGGGAGCAGAACAGGCAGACTGATTGAAATACATTGCTGAGGGGAGCAGCAGGCAAGACAAGAGAGGAGAGGTCGGCTGCACCATATGTGGGTTAGCTCCCTGGCTGGGGAATGAACCCAAGTCTCAGCTTTGATAGCACTAAGTCTTAACCCTTAGGCCACCAGGGAGGCCCTGGAAGTGCCATATGATTTAGAAATACCTCTTCTAGGTATTTATCTAAAGAATATGGAAACACCAATTCAAAAATGTTTATGCTTCCTATGTCAGTAGTATTATTTTCAATAACTAATACATTGAAATAACCAAAATGTTCATGAAAAATATGGATGTCTGGATAAAGAAGTTGTATATATGCTCAATAGAATACTACTCATATATCCAAAAAATGAAGTCTTGCCTTTTGCAACAGCATGGATGGAACTTGAGGTGATTATGTTTATGTAAGTCAGAAAGTGAAAGACAAGTATCAATAGTTTCTTTCATATTTGGAGTATAAATAACCCAAGGAAATGAATTAGTAAATCACAAAAAAAACTCCTATGGTCTCCAAAAATATAGTGTTTACCAGATGGGAGGATGGGGGTGGAAGAGAAAGGTCGAGGACATCATCCTTATAGTGAGAAGGACACCAGAACTTTGATAGTTGGTGAGGTGAGCTTATACACACAGAGAATGATCCTTCCAAATTTACATAGTTTCAGAACTCAATGGCAAATAATAAAATTTTATTAAAAATAAGGAAACTTATTTGTTTGCTTGACATATAATAATGTAAGTAACCGTAAGAACAAAACAATAAGCTTTAATTCCAAAAAGTGATTTGACCTAGTTAAGAAACATTTCTTCATTATTGTTATAGGAGACTTCTTTTTAGAAAGAAAATAATTCCTTTAAACACATCAGGCTGGATGCAAAACAAGTGGAAGAGATGCAAAATGTAAATCTATTTAATGGCATTTTTGATTTATAAGAATGATTCATATGAATTAAACACATCAAACTAAATTCATATTTTATTATGATGGAGACCAAAAAAAATGTTCCTGAAATCAATGGGATAACTCACTTAGCCTCCATGGGAACATTAACTTATAATTGCTTTGGTTATATTAATTTCCATCCTTGCTTGAATATTATTTCATTATACTTTCCCCCTGTATATAGTATTCTTTCTAAATTGCTTCATTGGGTGTACTAAAATATTTGGGTCGGATTTCAACTAGCTTATTCATTGGTGGTACATCACTAACTATGATTGCTTAACATGAAAGGTAAAATCTGAAAATTAAAATGCTTATTACATTAGGGTCAGTAAACTTGAAATTGGGAATGATCACTTATTTAAAATATCAGTGTGAATATGACAGATAAGTTTAAGCAACCAAACATTATATAGGAAGGGGATACTGCTAAAAGAATATCTAATATCTCAAAAAATTGAAGTATTATAAGTAGCTTTAACATATCTCACTAATAAATATATAGTGATGCAATTATTTCTTTAACTGTGATGATAACAGTTCGAACAAATTAATTTTGTTAAAGACAATTTGCTAATCAAATTAGTTTGGCAATTTACTAATCAAATATTTATTGTTGCTTCCTATGCAAAACAAAAAGAAACAAAGACTATTCATGAATGATGAATACAGACAGCACTGGCATCTTAGTAACAAGACAAAGGGTCTCTGTCCATTAAAAATAAAAAATGCATCTACCTTACAACTACTCTATTTCTAGATATCTACCCTAAGACTATAAAATAATTTGAAAGGATATATGCACTCCTATGTTTATTGCATCCCTATTTAAAATATCTAAGTTATGAAAACAGCTTAAGTGCCCAAGGACAGAGGAGTGGATCAGAAAAACGTGGTATTCCACATTATGTGTGTGTGTGTTTATACACAATGTACTACTACTCAGCTCTAAAAAAAGGATGAACTCTTGCCATTAGTGACAACATTGATGGAACTGGGGAGGAAAATGCTAAATGAACTAAGTCAGAAAGGGAAAGATAAGTAACAGATGGCCTCACTTGTATGTAATATAAAGACACGTAACAAAAGATCGGCCAAAACAAAATGAATAGCAAAGCCTTAACATCTGACCCCCAAATAAAGGTCATTGGAGATAAACAGAAGGGGAGGGTGGCAGGAAGGATGGGAAAGGGAAGAGGCCCAATGGAAGATGCCGAAAAATTATTGGGTCCCAGTGAAGGCAGAGTGTGAAATCCACATTTGCAGAGGTTAAACCTATAATTTCCAAAACAGATATAAGATAGGAAACCACTTTACCTCAATAAACATAATTTGGAAAATAAATAAGGTAAAAATAATCATAATTATTTAAGTGTTTTCTTCCTATGTTTTCATATTCTGTCATCACCCCCCCTTATCTCTTTCCTCCTTCCTAATCTTCTCCACCTTTAATATTCTTCACTTCCTCTACTTATTAGTTTTAAAACCCAGCTGCATGAGATCATCTAATATAATTTAGTCAATATCAGTGGGCCCAAGATTGCCATTTCTAACAAGCAGTCCTGTTTAAAATATCTAAGCTATGTTTATTGCAGTCCTGTTTAAATTATCTCAGTTATGGGAACAGCTTTAAGTGCCCAAGGACAGAGAAGTGGATCGGTAGCTTAATCACTGCCTGCTGGTCCACAGATCCCATTGTGAGTATCAAGATATATGAGGAATATTTACTTAACTAATTAACTAAAAAAACAATGCATTTGAAACAGCTAACTGTTATTAAATAAAATGTAGCAATGTGTTAGGATCTCTGACAGGTACAATGAATTCCCCAGATGATTCCAACATGATATCTAGATTTGAGAACTTTTATTGCCCAGCAAAAATGGGGAAAAAAAAAAAGAATTCTAGTTATTTACATCACCTGAGTGTTGACAAATTTTTCCCTGAAACTTTTTTGTCTGAAATTTTATCCCACTGTAAAAGGCAGGAACGGGCACAGTGCAGGTTTTCTGATCCAGTAGACCGGGTAAAGGAGGAGAAGAGTCCTCAGTGGTTTTGCAGGTTTTTTATTGGGGTTCACCAGGCATATGGCAGGCAGGGGTGCTGGCTGGGGGCTGGAGCCCCCCAGCCTTCACTCTATCTGGGCTCTCTGGCGTTCTTTCTGCTGCTTCTCGGCTTCTCTTTCGGCTTCTGCTTCGGCTTCTACTGCTGCTGCTGGCGTCCCCGTGACACCGCCCTTAAAAAGCACAGTCTTAGCTCAGCTGAATCCCATCTACCTTGCCCACACCCTATTCCAGGTGCCCGCCATCAGGCATGCATTCTGGACAAGGATCCATCATCTATCTGATGACAGAAGGGCAGAAAAGCCTGATATTTTCTTTACCCTACACCCACCGAACAAGCTCTTGCTTTAATTTCCACTTTGTATCAAGTCCCAGATCACTGATTGGGAAAATAAATAAGAAAGAATCCAGAAAGATAAGCAGGTAGAAAATTTAGAGTGATAAGACCCAAAAAAGGAAAGAGAAATGTTGATTGGCTGACTCTGAAGGCAAACGTTTCAGGTAAGTTAAGAAACCATCAGAAAACTGTTCTGCCATTAGGCATCTGAATGAACAGTATACTGGGCAGGCCTCAATTGCATTGCAAAGCACATTTTGAGCACATTATTTTTATGTTAATCTATCTCAGTTTGTATTCAATGGCCCACACCTCTAATCGCCAATATTATTTCTGTTTATTGACCAGATTTCAACATACTCTGTCCATGAAACATAGCAGTAGATAGTAACATAGATAGTACTTCCAATATTAGAATGGGTTTAATATTGGACTGTTTTCAATTGTATACTCAGAGGCTTGAGCAAAAAGAAAAATGCTTGGGTTAAACAGAGGTGATTTGGGTTGGATGTG